TGATCTAAATTTCCACATCGTGCGCAAACTGTCGCATATGGACATGCCCTCGCATTATGGCCCTGTAGTTTACATAAACTGCAAGTTTGGAGTCTTCGCTGGCCAGATTTGCTTGTACAATCCATCACACCTTTTTTTCCGATTCACACGCTTCCGACCCCGCCCAGCATGGTGGACAAGTTTAGTGTCATCTGGCCTGATCTGCCTCGTTGCCTTTGGCCATGGTTCCATGATTGGGTTAAATTCTCCAGAAAACTGATGTTACCATTGTTGCGTAGTGTAACATGGATCAAAAAGAGGAAAGGGGTCGTCACCTAGCTCACGGGCAACTCGAAGTGCATGGGAACAAGGAAATATAGTAGTCTGCCACCCACCGCAAGTGCACTCTCGAGCTGCATAGAGCACAACTTGCTTCTCCTCAGCCTTCCATGGTTGATTATCATGTGCTATTGTAACCACTTCGTACTTCTGGTTTCTCTTGCTAAACCGGTTTACCTGTTGCCTCATTGATTTCTTCCGGGCCTCTTCATACAATTTTATGGGCTTAGGAGGTAGAACAGTCTGACATGTCTGGATCATATCAATGTTTGCCTGAAACAGATTATTGCTTTTCTGAAAGGATGCTAGGATCAAAGCTGTGATCGGGAAGAATCTAGCACCTTTCAGAACATTATTGAAACTCTCAGAAATGTTAGTGGTCATTTCTCCCCAACGATGCCCTCCATCATAAAAACAGGTCCATTTCTCAACACCTAGCTTCTGAAGCCAACGAGCTGCCTTGTTATTTTTTTCTTCTAATTTCTGCCACTCTGCCACATACTTTGTCTTTTGTGTCGTTGAACCAATCATTTGACACTTGCCTCCCAGTTTCTCCTTTCAAAAATTGCCAACCAAGTTTGCTTTAACATGGTCTAGACAATATCGGCGGACTCCCATCTCTGGATATTTTTGCAACATGATGTCCATGGCAGTAAGGATACCCTGATTTCGATCAGAGATAATACAGGTCTTCCTATCCTGTAGAACAAACTTTTTCAAATACTTCAAGAACCATTTCCAGTTGTGTATGGTCTCTTCGTCCACAAGACCAAACGCGATGGGAACAATTGTGCTATTTGCGCACTTCACGCCTGCCACAATTAGTTTTCCTTTGTAGGATCCTCGAAGGTGGGTGGCATCTATGGTTACTACTGGCCAGCAAGCATGAAATAATTGTATAGATGGCCTAAATGCCCAGAAAACATACCTACATACAAATCTTTGCGAGCTTCCTGAATTTTTCTTAAACTTGAATCGCACATAGGTGTCCGGGTTTGACATGACCAATGCATCAAGGAAGCTGGGCAGTTGTTGAAAATTACTTTCCCATGTACCCCACAGAGCCTCGAGTGTTTTTCTTCTACCATGTCATGCCTTCTTGTAGCTACATTCGACTTGGTACCTCTTCAAAACTTCTATTTGAATTTGGGCAACTGCAAAATCTGGATGTTTTCGTACATTTTGGGCAACCAGTCTAGCAATCATAGAAGACGTCACGTTTCGGGACTCGTTTCTCTTGTTTGCCCCAAGACAGTTGTGGGAATCGGACCATACCATCATTTTCCAAGTATCGGTGGCCTTCTGTAGCGAAACTCGCGCCTTCCACAGGCACTCATAGCCGTGAAGACGCTCTTTCGGATATTTGGGCCCACAGGTCTTGCATTCGACATACCATCTTCGTTTAGAGCTAATTTTCACCTGGAAAGTCCGACCATGTCGCAAGTTCCATTCTCCCACTGCTGCCTGTGCCTCAAGCTTGTTGGTGAAATGTACATCAAGGTCAACCGTCATCGCATTGTCGTCCCATATTTTTATCCCATCAGAATCTTCTTCCTCTAAAGTCTTGTCCCATCCACTGATGTCGTCGAAAACATATGATACTGAAGAAGATGAATCAAAATCAGTGTCGTCATCTGAGTCCTCATCCGATGGGACGTACTCATCGTCAATGCTTTCGACACCCCCGCCATCTTCATCTTCATCTTCATCTCCATCTCCATCTTCATTGCCTTCAGCTATTCTACCATCACTAGTGCCGACACCAATATCCTGGCCAGATGTACTTGCATAAACATGGCCTATTCTCTCAACATTTTCAGGGTACAATTCCGGCCATTTATCAGCACAAAGATAAAGGAACCGTACAGTATTATCATCATTAATGTGCACACGAGACCTTTTCCCTAACCTCTCCGTCCATACCAAAGAAAAATCAATATACAACCCTTTTCTATTAACTTCCATCACACCACATACCTTATCAACAAGTTCCGAGAAATCTAACATATCATCAATAATAAGATAACCATCCGGCGCATCCCGCTGTACCGTGATAGTCCCATCAGGTTCAGTTGTATAAGTAGTATTCCAGTATACTTTCAGACAAACTGCCTCCGTAAAAGACATTTACGGCCTGTAAAATCAATTCCTACGAAATCAGAACAGTAGAATACATTTTGAATTTTAGTTTTGCTAAAATAGTATTTACCCCGTTTACATATTTAATAATTTCAAAAGAACAACTATACGCCTGAATTTAAAAATTCATTTCTACGCTAAAAATATTTTAAAAACTCAATCTGGGTATTATACAATTTTTCATAAACCAATATACAATAAATTTCAAGAATCATCTAATTTAACAACAACACACACAATCTTCGATGCTATTTTACAAATTTTACAATCAAAGAATTTAAATTAATATTAAATCTAAACCTTGTGCCCAAATTACATAATTTATTCTTATGCTAAAAATTTTCAAAAATTCAATATCATTATTATAATTTTATTTTATTTTACAGAAATCGATATATAATAATTTAAAAAGCTCACCTAATTTAACATTCTATTAACTAATATTTTTTCAATTCACTTTATCAGCCTAATTAAAATTTCACCGTTAATTGAGTAAATCACAATTATTTATTAACTAAGAATAATGAGTAAATCATCCTATGCTCACAATAAGGCATAAAAAAGTACATATTTTCTATAACGAAAAAAAAATTACCTGAATGTTGAAACTTTGGGTTTTAAATAGGCTTCAGGACTCAAATCAATCTTCTTTAACTTCGGAGCAACTTCTCAATTTGAAGGAAATGAGAGCTTTCCCGGATCCAGCCAAGTCCTCCGGAGTGAAACTCAAAATCGGAGCTCAATAGAACGAAAGAAGGTGGATTTGGGAAAAAATGCTGTTATTTTGCTTGGTTTGGTATGTGAATCTTAAACTTCGCGGGTACAAAACGCGAATACATTCAAGACTTATCAGCAAAATACACGTGGAGCCGAATGAGTGGTTGAGGAGATTTTCTGGATATTGCGTTTTCAAAACGCTAAAATCAATTTTCGCGTTTTCAAAACGCTAAAACATTTTTTTTTCGCGTTTTCAAAACGCTATATTGTCACAATATTCGCTTTATTTTCAAAATCTAAATTGTCTAAAATAAAATAAAAAATTATTTTAAATTTATAGCTTTTCGCGTTTTTAAAACGCGAAAAGCTGTGTTCGCGTTTCTAAAACGCGAAATACAATATTCACGTTTTCAAAACGCTATTTTTGGTTTTCTTTTTTTAATTCTATTTTTTTCTTTTTTTTCCCGGATCAATTTGTGGAAAAATAATTAACAGGATTTGCATTTTACAAACGCGAAGTTTTAATTTAATTTTTTCGTTTCGCGTTTTTAAAACGCAAAAGGATTAGAAATGTCCAGTTTTTAAATCTTACACTTTTTTTTTCTACGAGTTTGGGTCTGAGCCACCCTAAAGTCAAGCACCCGTGAATAAATCCAACCATTCCTGGTTAAACAAAATTCTGTCCAAACGCTTCAAGACTCGATCATTTTGTCGGTTTCCTGCCCAGGTAAAGAGATTGCCCAAAGGAGTTAATTCCATCAGCCTGCTCCCACTAATCCATGAATTGAAATCCTCGATTGCTCTCTGGCTGTGAGTTACCGTTGTATTCATCTAGAGTTCTGATTGCGTTGAAATCCCCGCCTACCATCCATGGCTGGCCAACATGTTGATCGGAGAAATCCTGTAATTCAGACCAAAGTTGAAGTCGTTCCTGTTCATAAGCTAAAAGCATGATGAGGAAGACATTGTGGACCCCAATAATTAAACTTAATTTTCTTTATTTTGCCTAGACACTACGTACATGCGTGGAAATAAATTAATGATTTTTTCATTTAATTTATGTGTTAATTACAATGGATCCCCTTCATCAAACTCTTAAAAAATCGTAGAACCTTTTTCTTTCTCTCGTTAATTATTTTTTCAATACATAAAATTATTTTTACGAAGCAGTTTGGCCGTCAATCAATACATTGTTTGCCTATCCTTTGTGAAATTAGATCGTCAGAGCTTTCTTTTTATGCGTTGTATTGGATTCCTAGATCTAGTGATGGTATAGCACACGTCACTCATAACCATTCGAAGTCCTCTGTTAAAACTTGGTCTTCTCCATCAAATTTTTTTATTAATCAGAGCTTAATGAAGCATTTTCTTTTCTCAACATAAAAAAAAAAACAGAAACTTAGCCACATTACCCAAGTTGATCAAATTGAATTTCGTATCAAAACTGGGAAAAAGAAAATAAGAATTCAGGATCGAGAAATCGTGGAGTGAATATTTTACAAGTGACTTAATTAATTTGACATTGGAAAATGTATAATTTTCCTTTTTATTTATTTGGTCAACTACCTTTTAATCTTAATATGCCATAAAATGATACACTTTTTGGGTCCATTGGACCATTTCTATAGTTCATATGTAAATGTTACATTTCCCTTTTTTCTTTTCCCTAGTAGTACATAGTACTACATAGTAGCCCAGCCGCCCCCCTCTCTCTCTAAATACAATATTCCACTTTGATTTGTGCATATAGAAAGAAATAAAAAAGGGTTCTTTTATTATTTATTTATTTTGTTTTTCTGTTTTGATCTTACAAAGAAACAAAAATCATGGGTTCCGATGCTCAAAATTTTGTTGTTTCCAAAAGTGTTTGCGTGATTGGAGCAGGTTCATCTGGGTTGGTAGCTGCAAGGGAGCTGAAAAAAGAAGGCCATAACGTTGTTATCCTCGAACAAAAGCATGATATTGGTGGTCAATGGCTTTATGATCCAAATGTTGAAGATGAAGATCCATTGGGAAAGGGTTTGTTTTTAAAGGTTCATAGTAGTATTTATGCATCTTTAAGAACAGATTCTCCAAGAGAAATCATGGGTTTTCATGATTTTCCATTTATAGTTAAGGAAGGTGGAGATTCTAGGAGATTTCCAGGCCATGGTGAAGTTCTTGAGTACTTGAGAGATTTTTGTGAGTATTTTGGGTTACGGGATTTGATTAGGTTTAATACTCGAGTTGAATATGTTGGAATGTTGAATTATAAGGGAAATGGCATTGATCATCAACCTAAAGATGTTCAAGAATTGAAATGGATAGTCAGGAGTGTCAAGGACAAAAAGAATCACGACGGTGATGACCGCGACGATGACCGGAAGGCGGTGGCGGAGACGTTGGCGTCGGAAGAGGTGTTCGACGCGGTGGTTGTTGCCAACGGCCATTATTCTCATCCTCGTTTGCCTATCATCAAAGGTACATTGCTCCTGTCTAATGTCCTTCTAGTTTAATTGTAGAAAATAATACTTATTGATTTACAAAATTTAATTTCATTTTATATTTTGGCTAATTCTTTATTTGAAGGTATGGAAGTATGGAATAGGAAGCAGATGCACAGCCATGTTTACAGAACTCCAGATCCATTTAGGAATGAGGTAAATGTTAGTATAGAGATACAGAATGTTTCAGATTTTGAATGAAACATGTTTGTCATTCTGACAACTCCCCCTTCCTTCCATAGTCCGATCTTCATAGCACTTTATCTGTTTCAAAGAAATAGTCAAATTGAGTTTTCAAATTGATTATTCAAAGTTAACTTTCAATAAATATATGAGTTTGAATTTAGAGCAGAGAAAGTGTTTTTTTTTTAAAAAAAAAAAAAAAAATTTAGGGAAAAAATTGTTCATATATCATCACGCTGGCCGGCCAACTTTTTGGAAATTTAACTGATGTGAAGTGAATAATTATTTCACCATATTTTAACTATAATAAGAAAAAAAAAGTACTCTATTCATTTTTTTCAAAATAAAAAATAAAAAAAAAATTCCAGTATACTGTACTATTATAGTAATTAATTATTAATTAAATTAATACGAGCATGAATCAGGTGGTGGTGGTTGTTGGAAGTTCACTAAGTGGGCAAGATATATCAATGGAGCTTACAAATGTTGCAAAGGAAGTACATTTGATTGCTAGAGATTTGATGAACGTTACAGAGGGATTATCCAAAGTTGTTTCCAAACGTAGTAATCTTCACCTTTGTCCCATGGTTCGTAATTAAAAAATTCCAATGCTAATATGCTCTATCCATTTCTTCTCGAGTAATATATTTTCTCTATAATGTTTTTGCTGTAACAATCTGTGTAAAAATTGCAGATAGAATCCATACATGAAGATGGACGAGTTTCATTTGTAGACGGGCATTGTATCACTGCAGATACCATCATATATGCTACCGGGTAATGCTTTATAATTGATTTACTGTCAAATTCTTTGTTTTATATTTAATGTCCACAAAAAATTATTAATAGTTTAGCTTGTGTTAATATAATGACTGAGATTTTGATATATTTATGGTGAAATATTATCTAATTAATTTACATAACTCATCATCTTTCATGCACACCGTCAATGCAACCCCCCCCCCCCCCCCCCGCCCCCACACACACACGCACAAACACAAAAAAGGACACGCATCTAATGTAATAAAAAAACAAATAAATATGTTGACCCCCATTGTTGGCTCACATTTATCGTTTCGTGGGTAGCTGTTACATGTTGTGTGTAACTTGGTCATAGTTTAACTCCCTTAAAGATATTCCCAATAAATGCTGACAATCATGTTGCAGTAACATGTAGCTGTGCAATTTGTTTGATTTTATTCTTCTTTCTACTCCCAAGAGTAGTGGTATTTTGTTTTGTTGTGACATCTCGTTGATTTTTGTCCCGAAAGAATTTTATGCCCCTACAATTAGTTTGAGTGTAATGCATATTTTGATTAAAATTATTTCATGTTTGTCAATCACTAAGATATATTTTATTTTCATTTTCTTTTCTTTATTGTTCGATTAATACATAAGAACATATTAAGTGATATTATTTCCGTCCCAAAATAATAGTTCACATTGAGTTTTCAAATTTGTACTAAAAATAATACAAAACTCAAAATTCAATATGGACTATTTTCTTGGGACGGAGACAGTAACAGTTAATTAGGATGACAACAAAAATCAGTTACCTTTCCTCCCGATGTTTGGTCTGACAAGATATAATTAGGCAGCGAACATGATTTATGACAAACTACAATTCAATATTTTTCAAAATTGCTAATCACTATTGATTGGCACGAAACGTACGTAGACGACAAAGCCCAAAGGTATACTCTCCAATTAACACAAATGATCGATATTATTATTATTATTATTATTATTATTATTATTACTATTTATTATTATTATTATTATTACTATTATTATTATTATTATTTTTGGGTAATGAGGAGATACATTAACATAATGGCTACGGGATTACAACATGGCGGGGACTGGTCCCTATAAAATCGGAAGCTAACAAAGCTCTAATTCCTGGTGACGGGGAATCTAATCTAACACAACCGACTGGGTTTGTGGCCGCAAGAAAGCCAAATAGTCAGCGGCGTCATTTTCCTCTCTATATACATGTTTCATATTAATTTGCCATTGTCGGTCCAGTAATTTTCTTATTGCATTTATTGAACCAGATTCGCTCCTACAGGAAGCTCCCTATTGTTCATCAATGATGGATATTATTTAGTAGAAGCATCAAAACTTCATTCTAGATAAAATGAAATCATTTGCTAGCTATTTTAATGTTTTTATAATATATAGTTTTCGTCAAAAAATAAGAATGATGTTTATTATACTGTCTCAATTCGATAAATTTAATATTTATTTTGAAATTAAAAAAAAGTATCAATTAGAGAGAGACCCAGAGAGATTGTTTCATCTTCGTCACTGAAGACAAAACTAACCAAGTTTGTGAATTTGACCGTTGATACTTGCACATGCCAAAAATGATTATTTTGCTTATTGTTTTTTATAGAAATTGTACCACAAATGTGACAATTACTTTTGAAAGACGCAGAAAATCACAAGAGACAATCGTGTATTCAATATCTTTTCTTGTTTGGGTGCATTTATTTGTTTTCGTTTTATTTAGGACTGACGCGTTTATTAATTGTTGTGACAGGTATTCATATACATTTCCATTTCTTGACACCAAAGGAATAGTGTCGGTGGACGATAATAGGGTTGGCCCCCTTTATGAGCATACTTTCCCTCCTCTGCTTGCGCCATCTCTTTCCTTCATCGGCATTCCCAAAAAGGTACGCATTTCTAAAAAACGACATTTTTAATCTATCTGTACTAAAATAATTGTGATAGTTATTTTGGAATTACAAAAAATACATCTTATTTATGATATGATAGATTGTTTCAACTATTAAAATAAAATTTATGAAAAGATTATTAAAAAAAATTAAAAGAGCGCTACCAATGACTCAATGAGTGTAAATATTTACAATGTGTTCTGATTAAATTCTTATATATTGCGATATGGTATTGATAGTTGATTGGATTCCCATTCTTCGAGTCACAAGCAAAATGGGTAGCCCAACTTCTCTCGGGAAAGAAAAAACTGCCATCATACGAGGAGATGATGAAATCTATCGAAGAGTTCTACCATTCCTGTGATTCTTCTGGCACTCCAAAGAACCATACTCACACTGTCTGTTCTGAGGTAAATTATATAATCATGCCTATATCTACCAAAATTATATACTTAAGAAATTAATTTAATTAGTTATAATGTTTTTGTTGATTTTTTTTAAAATTTAATAGAAACTTAATTACGTTTTTTTTTTTTTGTAGTATTGTGATAAGTATGCAGATTTAGCAGAAGCACCAAGGCTTGAAGATTGGAGGAAAGATTTATGCAAATCCAGTGTGTTGAGGCATATATCCGATTTAGAGAATTTTCGTGACTCGTATGATTATGAGCACCCCATGCTTCAACTGGCTTACCAAAGCCCTCATTTCACACAGTTTAGAAATTGATTGAATACTAGGCTTTGTTTGTTTGTTTGTTTTTCTTTTTAAGTTTTTTCGAGATTTTTTTTATTAAATAATTAGGTTCTTGACCCGTGCAGGCGCACGGGTTTGACATTGAAATTACATATGTTACCTCTATATAATTTTTTTTGAAAAGAGGACAATGAAGATTAGGTATGATAGTAATAATAAAAAGTATTGGAAAAAGGTAAACTCAAGAGAAAAAAACAATGTAATTTAAAAAAGAAATGTCGATAACAAAAGAATTTATTAAGATTAAGTTTTATATCTCCAAGAAATGTAGTGAATTCACCATTATAACGATGAATCAACGATAATCCAATCTTTTATTTTCTCGATCAGACCACAGAAAAGTATCCGAAGAGAATATACGTTATTAGACAGATTGCAACAAATTGTCAAGGAGGAAAAAGGGAAAAGTACAACAAATCTCAGGCACAATACTTGGAGTTCCGAGCTTGGTAATTGTGTGAAATATTGGATATCTTGAATTAGAATTGCAAGTTGTTTGTAAAAAATAACTGCACGCAGTTACTTCTTTCTAGATTTATATATCGATATGAGATCAATAACTGAAAGCGGTTACTCCTCTCTAGATTTATGTATTGATATGAGATCAATTATAGTTTATTTTTTGGTGATTATTTGATGTAAATACAGTTACGCCGCATTACACAGCTTAATTTTAAGATTGAGGGAGGCTGGCAGAATGAGTTAAAACGACAGGATTATTAGAGGTATTATTTGGTGGGAAAAGTTTTAAGGAGAGGTCGCCACTTGAAATTTTAGATTGTTTTGGATTTGGTTAAATAACTATAAACTAGATGTTTGGCCCGGGCAGATATTTGGGCACCCCTCTACTTTAATTTTGTGTTAATAGATAAATGAATTTTTGATTTGAAAAAAATAAAATAGCTACACATTTGTTTTTTTTTCTCCTTTTTTAGCCAAAACGAAAAATAAAAATAAAAAAATCATCTGCCAAAGGAGAAAAAATATTAAAAAGTACAACGATGCAGAAATTATACAAAAAAATGTCTAGTAATAAAGGGGATAAGTTTATGGGAAAATTTAAATACTATTTTAACTTGATTGATAAATATAAATAAATATTGGACATAAACTTTTTGCGGTTCAGGACTTTCTCACGATTTTGTTTTGTTAGTAAGACTAGCGTGGGGGACTGCACAAGGTGCGGTCTGACCCGAGGAGTGAAGACCTTAGGTATAAATTTGAATAACAGTTTATTTTTTTAACACAAACGTAATAAAATTGATGAGACAACCGTTAGCAAATTTATGGACATTGTTTACAATCTCTCTTCAAACTTTATGTAATCTATAATAAACAAATGGCTGGATAGTTGTTTATAATCTACAATCCTTGGTTCACAATTTGGTAGATATGTTCCCTCTTTAGAACAGGGAGGATAACTTCGTGACTTCAATAAAGGCAAGCTTGATGCTGTCAGGGGTACAGACAACTCTTTCTCTGGGCTCTGTAGTAGAAGTTCTCATTTGCTTAACTACGATCAGATTTGCAGCAGATCACAGAATAAAAATGGAGAACATTCGTACTGACTTTATTAATTAATCTTGTTCAATTCTTCCAGTGTGTATCCTATTGTAATGTTTTCAGATCAAATCATATGAAGAATAAATAGTAAACTTATTGGAAAGTAGAAGCATTTGTCAGCCCAGAGAGTGAATCCCTACCTTTATAAAGTGTTTCCTCGGAATCCGTCAGTTGTGACACAAAACGTTTGTTAGGAAATGTTACCGGTCTTTCACTTTTGATGTGATCCAATGCTTAAGACAGGTTCATAATATGTTTTTGACAGTTACACTGCAGTAAATACACAGAAAAACTGAGTTTCTCCACTTTTACCAATCGGAAAGATGTTCAATCAAATGATAATGAGAGTACAAACCATGAGACGTGCACATTTTTCAGTAGATGAAGGGGGAACAACTTTAATTGTTAAGATAGCAACATTACCTCCGTGATCAATCCACAAAGGAATGAACCAAAACACGACCACCTTTCTTCTTAGCTTTGTTGATGAATTATGTTGTGGACAAAATCATTTGCATGATTAGGGGACAGGGAGCTGCCTCTGTCAATATATCTGTGCTATTCAGACTTTTCAAAGTACTCCTATAAGTTGCAGCTGCAAGAGAATCCAAATAGAGACCTCCCTGTTTTATAAATATAGTTTTCAAACATTGTGAGAAAATGTTGACAGGCTGCCATCTCTCCATTAATACAACCAAATATGTGAAAATGGAATTTACCCATTGGAAGCTCTTTTTCAACATCTAGAAAGCACGGGCTAAGAAATAGATGAGTGAAGAAACAAAAGCCTTGAAGATCTTAAGGAAAAGAAACCAGCGATATAGAAAGCAGGCATAAATCTAGTTAAGCTTTTTTTTTTTCTTTTTTTTGACAGATAATCAAACACAAAACTTAAGCTGCATAATCCAAAAGAATTAGAAAAATACTACTTTTTAATGATCAAGGTAAGACATGCATGCCACTCTCTTAAGAATTCTGAGATCTGGCCAATTCAATAAGTTTAACAAATCAGCAAAACAAAGGAAATTTAGTTAATCATCATCTCATGTACTAAAAGCTAGTGGATTTTACCCCGAAGCAAACAAAACTCCAATCAACCAACAAGATTACCAAGGCCAATGGATTATTTAGAGCCTTGAATTAAACACCTAATGCATATCCAATATGTAAACGAAACATACAATGCTTTAAAAGATTCAAACTTTAGGAATTCGCTGCCGTTCAAATTTTAGGAAATCAATCAATCAAGAAAAATTTATTTAACTTGAATTAATCAAAAAGAGAAAAACTAACTTTCTGATTTCTTCTCGGAACGAATTAAATCCAATTGCTCTGTGAAATTTCAGAGGACAAACAGTTTTTTTTTTTTTTAGGACAAACGCAGTGCAAATCTACCAAACAAATCTAGTAAAAATCTCGAAAACCAACGAAAGGGAAAGCATCAATTTCTTCACCGTCAACCGCACCGGATACCAGATCTAGGATGGAAAAGATTGAAGGAAGGAGGGATAAAGGGACAGAAGTTTGACCCGACATGCAGAACAAACTGGTAAGCAAATTCGGATTTTCTCGAAATTTCTGACTTTGCGGCCGGATTTGGAAAGAAAAATTCCCCAATAAAGATCAAACCGAACCGTTAGGGAAGTGGGGAATTCTGTGAAACGGGAAGAACAACATCGTGCGATACTGTGATAGGAGGAAGAACAACCGGTCTGCAGAAGAAATCACGTGTAATGGCCTAAAGGGGAGAAGTTACCGGCTATTAACAAACGCCAGTCCACGGGCACAATTAAAATTGCAAACCTGTGACCGGCTACCGAGAAGAAACGGTGCAATAAACGGTGCTATTAACAAACGCCAGTCCACGGGCACAATTAGTATATAGTAGATTTCTTTTTTTTTTTTTTTGGATTTAGGTGAGGAGATTTTTTAGGAAATAAGCACATTTGAATTTCGAGAAAAAAATGATTTTTGTTATAATAGGAGTTATTATAAATAGATTATAGATTATAGATTATAGATGTCCCATTCCTAACATCCCGTTTACCCTATTAAAGCAGAAGACATGAAGCTTATGTGGCAACTACGTATGCATCTGTTTTGGCTCCAATGCACCATATTTCAGATTTCAGACGTCTTTTTGCCAGGTGTAAGTCTCTTTTAATTAGAAGTTATATAATTTTTTTTTAAAAAAAAACACATGTTTTACTACAAATAAGGATCAGTTACATTTCAAACGAATGGATATATTAATTCAAATTCAAACGTCCAATCGTATAGTTTTGCAGGCTTAATATAAACAAAAAATAAAAATACCTAAATCCAGCAATTAAGAATAATGCCTTATAAACTAATTATTTATTATTCTCTTATAACCTCAGATTTATAGGTATATTTTTTTAAGCCCCAAACCATAGCATAAATGATATATACGCCAAATTAATTCCTCAAAAAATAGTAATTCAATTAGATTTTCATAAAATAATAATTTAGAGGGGGCGCCCGGGCATCTGTTCGGGCCAAGCATCTAGTATCTTATTATATAAGAAGCAAAAACCACACTTCAAATATCTTCTTATTAATTGTCACGTGGTATTTCCACCTCATTGTTCCAAAAAAAAATTTTTTAAAAAAACACACATCAACCTTAAAAAAATACACACCAAGTTTTTAAATTAACATATACCACATTGACTATTTCAAAAACAAATTTAGATCAGGCACAACAGAAAATTCCTCCATGTCTCCCACGAGCAAAAAGAAAATTCCTTCTCTTCACTATTCATCTTCCTGGCCCAATTCAACAAACACCAATGATAAACCCCAAAAATAAAAAAAAAAATTACAAAAAAAAAGTAAACAAAAAAATTAGTTTTCTTTTTTAACGAGTTTTTTTCCACATCAGATCTTTTAAAAAAATCCATAAAGTTTTTTCGACATCAGCTTTTTAAAAAAATCTATACGTGTAAGATTGAGTTGAATACTACTAATTGATCGGTGATAAAGAGTGTGATAAACTAAATTAAATTACATTATATAAGATTAAATTAATTTATTAATTGATCGGCCATAAGTTTAAAGTAGAATATAGTTAAAATACTACAAATGTTAGATGCTGTCAACTTCATTTCTCCCACCTCCAACTCAAAACTACGGCCACACACTCCTCTTCAAATAGGCAATTTATCCTTTCCACGGTCAAAATAAAATTCCTAATATAGTCCTAAATTAATAGCATGTATTCTAATTGGATAAAAGTTCTACCTCCACCAATGTATCCGTCAAGTTCACATCTCCAAAAAATATTTCCTTTTACCTTCTATATATATAAATCCCAAACCAAAAAAAATATAAAATTATCTTCATCTTTCTTCTTGTTGTGCTACTGTTTTTGCCATTGTCGTACCTGTAGTTATCAACTATAGGTGTTTTAATGTCAACTATAAGCATTTTAAGATAATATACTGATTTATTTGTTTAGGCCATCCGTTTGCATACGCCAAAATAAATTTGTTCCCATAAGTTTTTGCTTCTACTAATTCTGATTCTCTATTTATTCCTATAATTTTTGTGTGAGCTGTTGCTCCCATTATCGTTTGCACTACAATTGTCACTAGGTACTGCTGCTATTCACATTGCCAATTCTGTTGCGCCTTTCGAAAGTTTCACTTTGCCCTTCGTAGCCAAATTTTCTAACTTTTTAATGTTCACTGTTCAAGTTTTTTGGAATCAGCGAACTATTATTATTTGTTATTGACAAAAAATCACAGATATGCTGGAGTAAAGCCGCAGGCATCACTAGTATTTTTATATTTTTAATATCTTAATACATTCCGAATATTAAAAAACCTATAAACACATTTAGGAAAAACGAAGTCAGGGATTATTGTGAAGTCAAGGATTCAAAGTACTTGCTTCATCTCTCGAGCAAAATGATAATAACAAAATATTGAACATCCATTTAGCAATAGCATGCTTGCCCTTAAGAAATGTTACGCTTAAATTTATTTATTTATTGTTATAGTACTCCACTGTATTTGGCACAGTCGACAAACTAAAAATCGTACAGAGTAATGATCTGTAGCTAATGCTCAATTTTAACAAAATTGAGGAACTATTTACAACAATCTGTATAAAAGGTTAAGAAAATAACGGATCAAAGTCGCATATCGTAATCATTTTAGCTGCTTTTTCCCCCAGAAAAAAGTCATTTGCCCTATCAAACTGTATATCGTCCTAACACCTCTTATATATAATGAATTAAGTTATTTTTTGACCGATGATGTTAAGGAAAAATAGTTCTTTATATATACTGACAAAGCTTGGATTTGTACGGCGCTTAGGACAGGCGGCGATGATGTTCTATGCGGCGGCAAACGACCTAAAATCTGAAAGACTCATTATAAGGAAAATTTATGAAGTTTATAGAAAAAGAAAAAAAAGATGAGGAAAAAAGAAAAGAAAATAGAGAATCATCCTCTACTCCTTCATATGCAGAAACAGTTATGGTAAAAGATAATATTACTTCTTACCATGTTAACAGCAACAAGGATATTATATTCTTTATAGAAGAAAAAGATTTGCAATGGGAAAAAGACCCATGGATTTTAATAGTAAGGTATTTGGATACTTCATATAAAGTAAGGTCATACTATGAGAATATACTAAAAACCTCAAATTCATGTGAGATAACACATTTTTACTCTAATAGAGCAAGTAATATATATAATTTTAGTAAGATTATTATTAAACGGATTATATCTGCTAAAGAATGGGGGTTATCAACATTAAAGGAAAAAGAATTTATACTTCTAGACTCTAAAATTTCCTTTAAATTATTGGGATTATATTGATGTCTTTTATAAGGTATTTTTATATGAGAATCCTAATAGGAAACACTCATGATTTATAAAGGTATGTGGAAATGTTTATAAAAATCTTATGCCAAATTGGTTTACTCAATGGTGGTACACTTATGGACCATCAAAGAAAATACTTCATGACAGATTTACTCTATTATATGGGCAATGGGTGAAGGTTTCGCCTAAGATTTCAGAATTAATTACATCTAGTAGATGTAATGAAGAAATAACTACAATGATTTTCTTTGTGGAATTCTCAATTCTTTGGATTTGGAAATGGATTTCAGAAGTAAGTTATACCGATAAAACAATGTCGTGTCTCAAAAAAGTTAGCTATACTAAATTCTATGATAAAATGTTAAAAATTGTCCTAGAGACAAAACAATTCTATTGACAAGATGTGCTGGATGAAATTCATCAGAAGAATGAACAATATTATACTGAAAAACAACAGAATGAATCAAGAGAAATTAATCCTTTCCAACATATATCCATGAAGATAAAATTACAGAAGGATTATATCTCCAAAGAAGACATGATTAAAGCTTATATGGAAGAATTGAAACAAGAATTAAAAAGGAATTTGGCAGATGATAGATCAGATGTGTCAATGACAACAGCAACATCAAATGAGGATTGCTTAGCTGGAGAATCACAAGACCCAGAAGAATACAATGAAGATGATATGATAGAAGAACGTTTCAACAAACTAGTTGAAGAATTGAGAGAGGAGACAAAGGGGGACATCATCCTCAAGCAAAGTCAGAAAGTATAATGTAATACAATAATGAAAAAGCTAAAGTTGTTTTAAATAGAGCAACTTAAAATTCAATTTGTGATGTAATAGTACTGTTTGCAACTATTCGGATCTCAAAATAAAATTTTGAAGTCCGTAATAGTACTAGAAGATAGACTATAAATAAGGGTGCCATAAGCTATAGAAGGACACCAATTAGTTTTCTTTCTTGCTTCCTTTCTCCCTTTCTTTCTGTTTCTTCTCCTACTCCTATTATAATATATTTCAAGTTTGAATTTTGAAGAAAAAGAGCTCAGCTCCTTTGTGAATATCTTTGTAAGTATTTATTTTGTTTTAATTTAGTTCATTCATAATGACAGGCTAATAAGCCTAATGGTTGGGATTATCATAGCTATGTTCCTGATGAAAGAAGGGTAATTTACTAATTAAATGAAATTTTACCGGGGGTAAGAGTGATTAAGACTGGCCATGATTTTTATAAGTAGGGTTAGCCCGATTTAAAGCCATGTGAAAGAGCTGTAAGGGCGTTGATCTCAATTTATTTATACTTAATCATGTTGACGGACTTAATTATTATGTAATCTTTCCTATTTGGTTTAAGATTTTCTTAATTAGTCTATGCCCCTCAACTCACACCATTTTGCGTAGTATATATAAGATATAATATTTTAGTTTATGATGTGGATTTCACGAATGAGACAATCAATCACTGTTTATTAATCAATTATTGTGAAAGGTATGGATGTGTGGATAAGGAAGCAACTCCACAGTCATGTGTACAGAGTTTCACAGCCATTTCGTAACCTGCAGGTAATGAAATAATAGTAGACTTAATTTCAAGTTATAGTGATATTAAAATTTTGGGGGAGAAAATGAAGAAACCATTTTTTTATCACGTATTCTTGTTTGTCCAATAATATGATTGTTAACTTAAAATAATATAGAAGTGGAAGACAAAGTCGGCAGTTGCAGGCAAGTATTAATCGATTTGAAGAATTGTGGACTAAATTTGATGAATGTAGAGATATAATTGAGGAGAATTGGTACATAGGGGGAGATGTAAATGCTGAACAATTTAAGATGAAGATTAAAAACACTATGATGGCGTTGAAGAAGTGGGGGAAATTGAAATTTGGTAATTTGAGGAAGAAAATTAATGATTTTAATCAGAGACTTGTAGAGATTCAGGGTAATCCTGCATACACATGGGATGAGGAGGCAAAGTTGAAAAAAGAACTGGAACTTTTATTAGAGCAAGAAGAAGTATATTGGAAACAACGTTCAAGAATTAGCTGGCTCCAAGGAGGTGATCGAAATACTTCGTACTTTCATAACAAGGCAAGTCATCGGAAAACAAAGAATTTCATTAGAAGACTGCAAGCAGAATCAGGAGAATGGATAGAGGATGAGGAGAAATTACATATGCACATAATTGGTCATTTTGCTGGATTGTTCACTGAGAGAGCTGATTACCAAGATGATATTTCTAACTTAGTGGAAAGTCATATTCCAAGGTACATGATTGAAGAGCTGGAGGACAAGTTCACAGAAGAGGAGATAATAAAGGTGATTAAAGACATGAGACCTTGGAAAGCACCAGGGCCCGATGGAGTGCATGCTGGCTTTTACCAGATATATTGGAGCATTGTCGGTGATGATGTGAAAAAGCTAGCTCTAGATATTTTAGATGGAGATGGGGATATTCAGGCCCTAAACCATACTTATATAGTTTTAATACCTAAAGTGCTGAACCCACCAAAGTAACAGACTATCGGCCTATCTCATTATGCAACGTTATATATAAAGTGGTGGCCAAAGTGCTAGTGAATAGAATTCAGAAAGTTATGCCTTTTATTGTCGATGAGGCGCAGAGTGCATTCATCAAAGGAAGATTGATATCAGACAACATCCTGACAGCTTTTGAAGCATTCCATTCGTTGCAAAATATGAGAGGTCATGATCAATATTTTGCTTTAAAGGCCGACATGTCAAAAGCTTATGACAAGGTTGACTGGAGGTTTTTAAATAATATGTTAAGAGTTGTTGGTTTTTCTGATAAAATGAGGATCAAGTTGATGGAGTGTGTTAGAACTGTGAAATACTCTGTACTTATAAATGGTGTTCCCTCAAAATCTTTTGTACCCGGACGGGGCTTGAGACAGGGAGATCCATTGTCACCCTACTTATTCCTAATATGCTCTGAAGGTTTGTCAACACTTATTAGAAGGCAAGAAAGACTGGCATTATGGAATGGAATAAGAGTAGGAATAGATGGGCCGCAAATTACCCATTTATTGTTCGCTGATGATTGTATTCTTTTTGCTGCAGCAAATGAACATTCAGCAGAAGTGTTGATCAAAGTGCTGGAGCAATATCAGAGAGCATCAGGACAAGAAATAAATTTTATTAAATCAAGGTTATTTTGTGGGAGATATCTAGAACAATCTAAGAAAGATCAGCTGGCCAGTAAATTGGGCGTTCAACTTGATGAAGGGAAAGGAAGATATCTTGGAATGCCCTATCTAATCGGAAGATCAAAGTCTCAGGTATTTTCATATGTCAAGGAAAAGATTAAAAGGAAGTTAAATGGATGGAACGAAAAATTCCTATCTATGGGAGGTAGAGAAGTGCTGATTAAAGCAGTAATTCAAGCTATTCCAACTTTTGTGATGACATGTTTTAAGCTACCAAAATCGTTATGCAATGAAATAACAAGCTTGATGAGGAAGTTTTGGTGGGGAAGTAAGGATGGTGAGAATAAAATATGCTGGAGCAGTTGGGAAGAACTATGTAAAACAAAAGCAATGGGTGGCATGGGATTTAGAAACCTCGAAGCATTTAACACAGCTCTCTTAGCTAAACAGTGTTGGAGATTATTGAAGAATGAAAATTCACTGGCTGCAAGGGTACTAAAGGCGAAGTATCACACACACACAGGCTTATTAAGGGCGAGTCTGGGGAATAATGCATCCTACTTATGGCGCAGCTTATTAGTTGGTAGGGATCTACTAAAAAATGGAATCAGATGGAGGGTTGGAAATGGAAGGAAAATAGAGGTGTGGACGGATCCATGGATTCCAAGGCCAACTACGTTTAAGATCAGCAGTCACGGTCGGTCTGATGACATGGGACTTAAAGTATCTGATTTGATTGATTTTCATGCTGGGGCTTGGAATGTGGAAAAATTAAAACAACATTTTCTGGATATGGATGTCACAGAAATAAAGAAAATCCCACTGTCTGTATCATGGCCGGACGATGAATGGGTGTGGCATTATGCAAGCAATGGAGAATTCACTGTGAAAACAGCCTATCATTTGGCTATGAAATTGATGCATGAAAATGAGAGTGATGGTGGTCCATCGACTACAATGGTAATGCAAAAAGAGTGGAAGTCTATATGGAAACTTAGTATACCCCCGAAAATTGAAGTTTTCATATGGAGAGCATGTAAATCAGGGCTGGCAACAAAATTAAACTTGAAAAAAAGAGGTATGGAGATGGAGATAACATGTAGCAGATGTGGAAAAGAAGAAGAAACAGATATGCACATATTTTTTGAATGCCAGCTGGCCAAAAAGGTGTGGAAGGAATTAGATGTGGATGTTCGTTATTACAGGCATGCAACTAGTTTCTTGGACTGGTTTTGGATGCTAACACAAAAAAATGAAGTTGGAAACTTGAGGAAGTAGCAGTGATATTGTGGCAGCTATGGAAGTGCAGAAATGAAGAGATGTACAATGGAGTCCGTAATGAACCAAAAATTGTACTTATGATGGCCAGAGGAACCATTGATGAATCCAGACTTCACAATGAAGTTAAAGGAAAAGAAAAGACTGCACAGAACATTCAATGGACAGCACCACCTGAGGGTATGTTGAAAATTAACTTTGATGCTGCTTATAAAAATGGAGAAGCTGGTATTGGTGTTGTTGTTAGGAAGTAGGAACCATAATGGTGAAATAGAAGCCTTATACATGGAGCATTTGAAGCAAGTTGCAGATGCAGAACATGCTGAATGTCTTGCACTTTTCAAAGCAGTAGAATTTGCAAAGGAGGAAGATATCACTCACTGCATTTTTGAAGGAGATGCTATGAATGTAATCAATAGAGTTAAAAAACATGGCAAAGACTTGTCATATATTGGACATGTTATTGATGAAATTAAGAAAGGTTGTTTAGAGTTTAGTAAAGTGCAAGTATATTATGTAAATAGGAAAGGTAATGCAGTTGCTCATGTAGCTGCTAATGTAGCTTTAGAGATTAGTAATAGGTGCTTGTGGTATGATAATTTCCCAGTAAATGTACTAGAAGTGGCTGTGACAGAAATAATCTAATAAAAGATTTTGCTGATTTTCTCAAAAAAAAATTAATAATAAAATAAATTGTTTTTCAAGACGAACATAATACTCCCCCGTCCCAGAAAAATAGTCCAGTTTTAAAATGTATAACTTTTTTAATTTGGTCAACACACTAAATGTACAACTCATTTTATGCCCATAACTTCCACTAATGCCCTTTCTAGTTATTTCTATAAAAGTTAACTACATATGTATTTATTTTACAACTTAAATTTGATCAAAATTTTTATCTAAAAAAGTATTGACAATGGATCTTGATGGAAAGATGTCGTTACATAGATTAATTTGATATACAACATATTAATTATTCATGTATTAAAAGATATAATCATTTGAAAAAATAGGAAAAAACTAAAAAAAAAAAAATGAAAATCAATGGAAGTGGACTTGTTTTCCTTAACACTACACTTTTGGATATTTAAGTAATTTCAATTCAATTAATTTTGACTTTTGTGAAAATGAACTATTTTTTTGGACAAATTTTTTTGATTAAACTAGACTATTTTTGTGGGACAGAAAGAGTAATATAATAACATCCACCCGTTTGATTTTGATTGCTAGCTAGCTCTATTTTTTGGCAACACATATGGGCCAGATGACAACTGAACTAGTACCTTCGTGATGTGATTCGCATTTCCAAGATTACAGATTGAGCCCACCTATTTTTTTCTTTTTCTTTTTGTGTTTTCAATTCCATTTTTAATTTACAAATAGAATGAAATTAATTTAATTCGAAATCATCAGGTGGTGGTTGTCGTTGGAAATTCTGTAAGTGGGCATGAAATCTCAATGGAGCTTACAAAAGTAGCAAAGGAAGTACATTTGAGCGGCAAAAAAATTTGATTTGTTCGAAGGCCTATTCTAATTTGCTTCCAAATACAGTAATTTTCGTCTTCACCCGCTGGTATGTAAAACTCTACCTTAAGTATTTGTTAATCCCTAATTGATTTCCTGTTGGCTATTTTATGTTTGTTCCATTAAGAAAAATCATTTCTAGCTAATTGTATAATCGAAGTACAATAACATATAGAATCAATACATGTAGATGGAAGAGTTTTGTTCATAGACGGTCAATGGATCATGGCCGACGTTATTATATATGCCACTAGGTATAAACTACCTGAACTAAATATCAATTTTCTTAATTAACTGCAAATATTTAATTTTTGAATATAGTGATCTTCTTACTTCTTAGTGTGTTACGCTTGTTTACTGAATTTCAGAATTGTAATTGAAATTTTCTTATAATGGGGCTGCATGTATTTATATTCATTTCCATTTTTGGACACCAAAGGGACAGTGAGTGTAGATGATAATAGACTTGGGCCTCTATATGAACACACATTTCCTCCATTGCTTGCTCTTTCTCTTTCCTTCATGGGCCTTCCATCCAAGGTAACCTGAATTTATCCTTTTGGAGGATAATTTTTTATTTTTCCTGGAAATTATATAAAAACATTGTCGAATTATGTTGAAGTTCCAATCATGAAAATTATCTTTCGCTGATTATCTTATATACTAGTGATGTCTGATCGCGCAATGCGCGACCCTGGTCCAATATATTTTAGAAATGTTTGAAGAATTTAGAAATGTTTTATAAGTGTGATCATAGAAATGTTTGTATTTAGCATAAAAATACAAACATTTTGTATTTGGCCCAATATATTTTAGAAATGTTTGAAGAATTTAGAAATGTATTATAAGTGTGATCATAGAAATGTTTGTATTTAGCATAAAAAGAAATTGTATTTGACCGGTACGTTTTAGAAATGTTTGTAGATTTTAGAAATGTTTTATAAGTGTTACTTTTTAAATATAAATAAACTTGATCAAATATATGTCTTGAAATAAATGCTAGACAAAATATAAAAGCATCTTAATAAGTTTAAATATTAGTAAGATAATTTATTGATGTTCTACATTGGTTGTGCCAAATCAATACTTAGTTTTGGAGATTTATAATAGCTTTGTAGTAAGCTTCCTCCAAAGGTTATACGCTGAATTGTTGAAACTATTTCTTCCAAAAGTTTATAGGTAGTAAAATATCAAAAATATGATTTTGAAACTGGTTAATTGTTGAAACTGGTTGATCACAAATATGAGAATGAAAATAATGTAAATTTGCATAGGTTTCAAGTTATAGCAAAAAGAACTCATCTCACCATGGCAAATAAAAAAAAAGAAGTAAAAGATAGCCCATTAAAAATTGAGAAACTTATTTTTTTCTGCAAGTAAAAATAATGTATAAAAACACAAATAAACGTAGAAACATCATTCCTTCCCTCTCCACCTCAAATTCATAAAAAGTTTCCCCATAAATTAGTTAGAAGAAGGGATCTGAACTATTTATATGATGAGGAACTAAAAAAAGTCCAAAAATCAAATCCAAAAAAGTATATTCTTGAAAGCCCGAAAAAAAACACGCTTCATTTGCAAATAAAATAAAATAATAATTGGTCAACTAGGAGTATGAAACAAAAATCAAAAGCAATTAAACAAAGAAAAAACACACTTCATAACTGACCATAATAATTAAAAAAAAACACTCTAATTGAATGAAACATAAAAAAGAAATTTAAAAAACCACACTTTGTAACGAAAATCCAATTAATCAATTCAATCCAAACAGAACTAAAATCATACAAAAATTCTAGGCTAACTAACCATATTAGAAATCACATCATATTACCTGACAACGGCTACGGTAGCTGAAACGGATGGACGCATAAAAATAATAGTCATAACACTATTCTTGAACGGGAAAAATAAAAAATAATAAAAGCCAAACAAATTATCTGTGGAAATAAAATCATTTAAATTTTAATACCTGTAATGGCACCACCACAACGGCCAAAGCATGATCAATGAGATTTTTTTTTTTCCTTTGTGTTTATGTAGAGAGGAAAAGAGAATATTTTTTGAAGTCGAAATTTTATCCGATTAGAATGTAGTTGATAAGAAAGGAGTATATTTTATCACATATTCTCAATAGATGATTGATGGGGATTTTTTTTTTTTTATTGTGGAGAATGGATTGATTACGGAGTCGATTGTCGTGGAGATGGAGATGAGGATTTGGGTTTTTTTATGAACCCGTGGTTTTTTTTTTTTGGCGAAAATAGGAGGTAGAGGTGAATTTAGACTGCATTTGCCTTTTACCAATATTACCTTTATATTGGAAATGAAACAGTATTTATAATGAATTTTTATTGGTTTATAATAGATTGTATAGACAATAAATAAGGGTATTTTTGTATTTTAACTATATTAATTAATGTTTTCTTGGTTTTGATGATTTTTCTAGAAAGACATAGTATAAAAAAAAATGGAGGGAGTAACAAATTTTGATGAAATGATAGATATCTATCCAAGAGTTCTAGTCTTCTGGTATCCAAAAGCGTCATACTCATCATATCTATGATTTCGAAGTAACAAGATATATATAAGTGTATTAGACCATATTGCTTTTTCATTGTCCGCTTTTGTTTTATTTTCTTTATCTGAAAAGGTTGTCGATACTAATATAAAGAGTCGATATATACCTTCCATGCCGCAGATAACACTTTTTTAAGAACTCAATATTAATGTAAGGTTTTTTTTTAAAAAAAGATAAATAAATTGGGTTGCAGTACTATGATCGGTATGCAGATTTCTCGGATTCACCCCATTTAGAAGACTGGAGGAAGGAGCTACGCTTATCAAGCTGGTCTGTTTATTATAGTACAAAATCTGGAGAAAACTTTCGTGACTCATATGACCATGACTACGAGATGCTTCAGAAGGCTTATCAAAGTTCTCATTTTACGAATTTTAGAGTTTTAGAGGACAAACTTTGATATTTTAACAATGCATACTCTTATCTCATTTAACTATTTCATCCCACCCACAAGTTCGAAACTATATTAGCTCAAGCGCCTGGACTGTATGTATATGTGTCGCTACCAAATACTCCCTCCGTCCCATAATTATTGTCCAGTTTTACTAAAATGAAAGATTTTATTTTTGGTCAAACTTAACTATATTTTACCTTAAACAACCGGAAATACCCTTACATAATAATTGTTTAACTATTAAGATTTTATGGATAATTTTTTTTACTAAGGACAAATGTGTAATCTGATCCATAAAAAGTCAAATTGGACAATAATTTTGGGACAAAATTTTTTGGGCAAAATGGACAATAATTATGGGACGGAAGGAGTATCTGCGTTAAGTTTATCCCACATTTTAAATGTTAATTTTTTAAAAATAATTTCTCCCTGATTAATTACAGAAATATCATGGAGTTGCAACCACAAAATTACTCTAGAAATGACCCGTCTAACTTTTAACATATATGTACGATAATTAAGACCTCTATAAATTAATATACCCGGGCCTCTAAAAATTTATTAATTTAAAGAGTTATTAATTTAAATAATTTATTGATTTAAAGATTTTTTTTCAATATTAAGTTAAAAAATACAAAAATTTATTATTTTTATGTCAAAAAAGTCTGTGTAGCCCTAGTCATAACATTATAATTTTTTAATGAAACAAAAACATGTAATTGTAAATATAAACAAAAATACTTAAGTTCAAATCTAAGTTAATCTTCAAATCTAATTTGTTATTTTAGGTATTTATTAATTTATTATGAAATTGTGGGATCTATAGGAGATTCTTAAAAAATTATTATTTTTGACATTAATTTAATTTATTCATTTTTTGTACTGGTCCCGATTTGGAACCGGAAAAAAAAAACTTATTTAATGAAGATTATTAATTAATAGAGAATTAATTTAGTAGTAGACGACTGGAGTCTAGACGTGATTATCCTTGTCATCGTGCTAAAATAATACTCCCATGTTCTAATTATAAGCTGCAAATTAATGCTAAATTAGGACCAGAGGGACTAGAATAGGCATGATTTTAGAAGAAAGTGATAATGTTAAATGTAAAACCGAACTTATAATTAATGCTGCAAATTATCTGAAACATTTGCGCGTTTGGTAGGCGGTTTATGATCCATTTCTCTGTGAATATCTCGTCCACATTGAGTCAACATTGCATTTGAAAGGCAAATGGAGATTGTCGATTCCAGCGTTTGTGATCAAACAAGAGTCGGGCAGGCTAATCGAGCTATTTACCAAACCAGAATGTTGTTTACAACCTTTTTGGCGACTGCGCAACGGAAAAAATCAGTACTTGATTATATTCAGATTGCCTTACTAGTATTATTTCCGCACGTTTTGCGATGATATAATTTATTATATATTAGTTTAATAATCAAAAGATACTATCTCGATTTAGTTAATAATTAAATATAGTCTCTGATTTATTTCACTTTGTATCCCGGTATGATTATGAAATTTTTTTTATTATGTGTATACGTATATAAGTATAAGTTTTTGGTTCTTTAAACAGAGATTTGATGGCTAATTTCGGTTTAATTATCCTATTTTAGAGTAATATGTCCCCCTACTTTTTTGTTTTTGTTTTTCAAGAATCAAATGAAAATGGTAACGTACAGTATAATTGAGTATTAGAAGATGGCATGTGTACTACATAAAATTCTTAACAAATGAAAATATGAACGTGTACCTATAAATTATCGATGACGTTATTGACTGACATGTGTCTTTTAAAAAAATTCCTTTAATGTATAGTAAGATTCTACAGCCACTGAAAACTGATAAAAATAAAAATAAAAAACCAAAATAGAAGTATTAAACGTCATTGGAAGCGAAAATAAAATCTATATACCCTATTAAAACAATAGTCCAAGAGAAAAAAAGGCTTATGTGTCGCGCTCTCATGTATCTGTTTCCTGTCCAACCAAAACGACATCGTTTTGTAAAAAAAACAAAAACTGATTTTCCTCCCACCTAATTATAGTGAAACTTTCATTCTCTTTATAAAAAAAAATATGATGGACTTCCCTATTGATTGTCCAGAAATTAATGAAATCTTTGACCAAATCAAAAATATAAAACAATCAGAATCATACCATTAATATGCATTGAGTCTGAATGATCTCCTAATCAACAATGAAGTTGGTTTACCGAAAGAAACTATTTCTCCATAAAAGTTAGCTCATTCTATTTTCAGAAAAAAAAACTGCACCGTATATGATAAAAAAATTTGTTAAAATTTCACGGGTAAAATTCTGGAAAAAAAAAATGAAACATATTTTTTACATTCAAGAATCACTCTAATGCCAATCGTTTTTTTATAAAAAAAAATTTAAATTTCACAAGTAAAATGACGAGAAAATCAAAGTAAGGCATTCTTCTTTTATTGAAAAACAATCATTGTAATATTCATCTTATTAAAAACATGTTAAAATCTAATGGATAAAGCTACGAAAAAAAAATAAAGAGAAACATTTTTCTTATATTTAATAGGGTTGCTAGTTAATAGGGTTTCTTATATCAAACTGTTCGGTAATCGAGTTAATTTCGGGTTTTCGATTCTACCTGATTAACCGAATGGACAATTCGGTCCGGGTGCGGGCGGGAAAAAATTAGTTCGGCCCCCGCCCGATAACCTGAACTATTAATTAAAAAAATAAAAAATATATATATATATATATATGTATATATATATATTTAAAAAACACTAACCCTACCAATGCCCCTTCCCACCTCATTTATTTGATTCTTTCTTCGTAAAAAACTTACAGCCGACTGCCACCCTCTTCCAACATCATCTTCATCTCAATTCTTCAAATTTTAATCACCATCTCCAAAATCCAAATCTCAACAACATCAATCTCTTCATCTTCAAATTTCCACTGTCTCCCGCCGTCATCACTCGCTCAGAAAGGAGAAAGCAATCTGATTCGCTACCGTCCGCCATAAGAAGGAGAAGAGAGAAATGACTGCCACCGTCCACCAGAAGAAGGAGAAGAGAAAAACGACCGCGCGAAAATGAGGAAGAAAGAGGAGGAGAAAGTTGGTTCTAGATCTGAATTTTAACTTGTTCTGGTGCTTCACTCGATCTCCCCCACTTATTCAAATTCTGGATTTTTCTGAAGGCTTGGGAATCTTGGGATTTGGGATTGTTGTTTTTTATTTTTGGCTTTATGAAAATTATTGTTTTTTTTTTCTGGTTCATTATTTCTTTTGCTTTCTTCTTGAATTGATATGAATGTTTGTGTCGAATGTTGAATTTTGAGTAGGGCTGTTGAATTCAGAAGAAAAAGAGACTGAATATCATTTCTGTATGTTAATTTCGGTTGGCCCGAAAATTGAACTGATTAACTCGAGTTTTTAATCGGTAGGTTCGGTTCGGTGCAATAGATTTTTTGGTTCGGTTTCGGACGGGTCTTGTGAGAGAAAAAATTCGATTAACCCAAACCGAATTCATCCGAACCGTACCGAACCGCCCGAATTAGTAGCCCTAATATTTAAGCTCAAAGAAATTTTAAATTATAATAATACTAATGCCACTTCACACTGTCTTTTTTTTTTTACCTCATTTTTTATTGTTCACTTATTCTTTGTATTATCTGTTTTTCTTTAGATTTTATTTTATGATCAATCATTAATTGAGTACGTTGTATTTTTTTATAACTAAAAATCATTTTAATATATTCCATGTAACGGACGGGAGAGAACCTAGTTACCTCATAAGATGCTTTCGGCTGATTGTACGTATGTAGTAGGGATTACTTATTGTAAAGAAAAAAAAATGGGGAGAGAAATTGGCAAGAAATCATCATCGTATCACAATATAAAGGGATTAGAGAAATTTAAGATTTTTTTTTTCAATTTGATTGAAAGCTTTAATTGATTAGTTTTAGATAAGAGATATTTTAGGTATGAAAAATGGTTTTTATAGTTTAATTTACAATTGTAATCATCGCATCATGGACATAAATTTAACGCCCACTAAATTTGGTGTAGTATTCAAATTCAAATTCCTGATTATTATTAATTGGCTATATTTTGGATAATAGTATCTTACCAGACATAAACGATAGATAGAGTAAATTAACTAAAGTAACCTAAGTAAATACAAAAGAAAAAATAATCACCGTGGATTAATAGTTTTACGTATCGTTTTTATGGTTTAATGAACCAATTAAAAATCTCATCATATTTACTTTTTTCCAGCCGCCACCCCAATCCTTCGTCATTTCGTCTCCCACCCAGACATCAGTTGGCTACATACTCTTTCATTTTGTTTCCTAATGACAAAAAAACTCCAAAGAAAATTTTCTCTAGAGGTTTTGGTTAGTATTTAAATTTGTATGTCCAAAATATAATTTTGGAAAAGAAAAAATTGAGGTTTCTTCAATGCAAGTTTTGGCAGTGGACAGAATGAAAAGATTCGGATTGATATCATCACTCAAGAAACAAAATATAGAAGATATAAATTCGAGAAGAGAACTGGTCGGAGAATATGCCGGAGATGAAACATTTGATCAGAAAAGAATAGTTTCCCACGAAATGTTGAAGATATCATCCACCGGTGTTCTTGGTGGGAATCAACGCTGCTACATATGAATCAACGTTGTTGTATATACATCTTTGAATTGCACTTGACAAAATTTAGCCGGCGATGATGTTAATTCTCTAATCGGTGTGTCCAGAGATATTTGTGGCCGGAGGTATTTTTGCGTTCAAAGTGATGATTCGGAGATCATTGGGTTAATCTTCTAATTCGTAGAAAGGTATTTTTTAAGAAAATAATTATTTAACTGTGTTTAAAATAACCATATTGCTAGTATTAAATACCCAGTAAAAACATCCACAAATTAAAAGATAACATGTGTACTACACAAAATTCTCAACGAATTAAAAGATGACATGTATACTTAAAAATTATCGATGGTCTAATTAACTGACACGTGTCTTTTGAAAAAAATTCCTACTAAGATTCATCCTTCTTTGATCCCCTGTCTCAGTACTCTTCTCTATTCGTAGACCAAGATGAAATCACAAACATGCATTCCGATGTTGGTGAAAGGATTTGCAAAGATCCGGAAGGACAAAAGAGATGAAATGAGAGATAAATTGTCTATGAACAACCCAAATTAGTACACGTAGACACAAATTCAAAGTTTGGGAACTTTCAAAATAATTTTTTTTCTGTAATTTGTCTGAAAAGATAAAAAAACTTTAGTGTACCGAATTTGTGTCCGCATAATTATTCATATATATTTTTAATTTTTTTTTTCGGAATATTACGTACCGAATGTTCAAATCACTTCTAATTAATTTGAACTCAAGCAGAGTACGTACCAAAACTTTTCTAACAAATAATTTTATAATCACCGTTATATTTTTCTACTTGGAGTTGAACCTGAGTTCCAAAACTATATGTACTACCTGTTTGATGTCATACATAAGAGTAAGGAAGGATAAACAAAAATAAACTTTGAAACGTTAATGAAAAAAGAATTTTATTTCATTCATTATTATGTAGGTTAAAAAATAATACTCCTAACATAATCCTTTCTTTACCCGACCATAATAATGATAAAAAAAAATAATGCACGTCCTAATATATTTGGTCAAATATAGTATCTTTTGGTCAAATCTTTCTAAAACCCTAATATTAATGTCCTGATCACCATCAACACGGCCAAAAAGTGATCAGAATCTAGTCGGAGAGGTATCGGATTGAGAGGAAAACAGAGCAATGGGGAAAGTGAAAGGAAAGCATCGGTTGGACAAATACTATACGTTATCGAAAGAATCCGGCTACTGGTCTCGAGCAGCTTTCAAACTCACTCAGCTTGATTCCAAGTACAACTTCTTCCACTCCTCCCCCACCGTTCTCGACCTCTGCGCCGCTCCCGGAAGCTGGATGCAAGTAGCCGCCGATCGTACTCCGGTCAGCCGTTTAATCGTCGGCGTCGACCGCGATCCTATCCGCCCCGTCCGCGGCGCCGTTGCGATCCGGGAGGATATCACCAAGCCCCGGTGTAAATCCGCCATCAGGAAAGTGCTCTCCGATTACGGCCGGAAGGCATTCGATTTGGTCCTCCACGACGGTTCTCCGAATATCGGCGGTGCTATGGCCATGGAGGCTACTGTTCAGAATGCTTTGGTGATTTCCGCTGTTAAGCTCGCCGCCGAGTTTTTGGCTCCTAAAGGAACTTTTATTACCAAGGTTTATTTAAGAGTTCTATTATTATGCACGCATTCTGTTTGATCTAATTACTGAGTTATCAGTATGCTTGATTTTTGTTGTGTTTCTTTTGTAGGTTTTTAGGTCTCGAGATTACTGCGCTGTGCTTTATTGTCTCAAACAGGTTGGAAAACAAAACAAATTCCATTTTGCTTTTCTGTGTACTCCCATCCTCATTTATTATTATTACATGGACAATATGCAATGCATGCAGCTTTTCGAGAAGGTGGAGGTCGTTAAACCGCATGGCAGTCGAATGGAATCCTGTGAAATTTATCTTTTGGGCTTCAGATATAAGGCACCTGTTAAGATTGATCCTCGACTCCTTGATGTGAAGCACCTGTTTAATGAAGGCAAACAACCGGCCAAGGTATGGTTTGCTCAGTAAGACCCATGTAAAACCTCCCTATTTCTATGAATGAAACGGACAAAAATCTTATGTATTTGCCTCAAATATGTTGGGGCGCACAGGTGGTTGATGTACTTCGCGGATCAAGGCAGAAGAGACATCGTGATGGGTAAGTAGGTTCTTCATTTTATCCCTTTCTCCAGTCACAGTGCATTCATTCCTTCAGTTTTTCTATATTGTCCAATGAGGTACTTTCACTTTCTCAATGGGATAATTTCTCTTTCTCATGGCCCACTTTGTTGTAAAAGTGCACTTTTAGAACGGGACAGCGAGTATCAATTTAGACGCAGTCGAGCTTAACATATCTGTTAGGGTTTGTTTTTTCCATGATCTCAGGACCACATGACTACTACTTTTACTGCTTTTCATCGACTGTTTTTTGTATATATATTTAAGAAGAGTAATTTAAATTTTTGAAACTTGAACTTTCTGTCTTCTGTAAACCCGGGCAATGGTAAGAAATACTCTTTGTTGTGTGAGCTCGCAGTTTTGTCTGGATCCTGTTATAGAAAATGTACTGTTAAATCGGAACTAAAGAAGAAACACTGCCGCAGTTATGCAGATGGAGAAACAGTTCTTCGGAAGGCTTTCCCAGCTGCTGACTTCATTGGTTCCAACAATCCTCTTGATATCCTTGGTTCTGTGACCACCATAACTTTCGAGGATCCCGAATCTTTGCCCATAAAGAAAAACAGTTTGACTACCGAGGAGGTCAAACATATTTTAATTGTTTTACTCCATTAATTTGTTCACCAATCTTTCATTCCACTGAAATTTTCAAGTGTTTTTGTTTAATTGATGATGGGCCAGGTGAAAGCTTTATGTGATGACTTGTGTGTTCTAGGAAAGCAAGACTTCAAGCATTTATTAAAGTAAGAATCAGATGAGCATCTAATTTCTTGATATTTTCCTTGAAACAGATTACTATCTAATGTCTAATTTCAAAAATGAAAACAGCATCTAATGTCATAGATATGTATTTCAAGTTCTACCATTATTAAAAAAAAATATTGGTCTTCTGAATTGCAGTCATCATGTCTTGTTCAAACTTGCTTTTCTCTTCATCCCTGATATCCAGGTGGCATAAGCAAATGAGACAGGCAATGTTTCCTATGAAGGCTACTTCTGGGTCCGAAGAAAGTGAACCTCCAGTGGAAGATGACCCGGAGGAGAAAGTTTTGAATGAGATGCTAGAGTTGAGAAATGCTATGGAGCGAAAGAAGAAGAAGGCAAAAATCCTTGATGCAAAAAGACGAGCCAAGGTTAACTCTTGAGACTACACAAATCTGCTTTCTCTTTCCGAGGATACTCTTTTAAATGATGCATTTGGATTTTGTACTAGAGACCTAGTTGATAAACCATGAATTATTTTAATTTTTTCAAGAATTAGGGGTTTATATATTAAGATAAAAAGGACATATGAGTTTGGAAGCTTCTATACTTTTGATCTTTACTTCACTTTTTTCTCTCAATTTCAGGACAGAGCACGAAAGGGTCAGGGGATGCCATCTGATTCAGTAATGGATGATTTTGTAGACCAGGAATTGTTTTCATTATCTTCTATGAAGGTACCTTGTCACACTTTGTTGTTCTTAGTTCCTAGTTTGTATTGGTTTCTATGGGTTGAATCATGTCTGGATGCAATAATGTAACATAGATATTATCTAATCACTATGATTTTTATTGTATGGATTAACACTGATGTACCACTATTCCAGTGAGGGGCTTCATTAGAGCTGTGTAGCCAGAAATGTTTCCACCAAAAATGAAAATACTTTTTTTTTGGGGGAGAGAGGAAATGTGGGGTGGGGTAAGCTACTTCTCTATCTTCCATTTACAATTTGATATTCCTTTCCAATGATCACTTATAAATCACGGCTACTATTGGAACCAACTTATTTTTATGAAAAGGGTAAGAAAGATCTGCTCGCTGCTGATAACAATATGCACGAAGATGAGTCTAGTGTCTCCGGAATGAGTGACTGTGAAGGAAGTCGTGACAAAGAATCAGATGATGCATCACGAATAGATACTGATGAAAGCCGGAAGAGGTATTTTCCACATCTGTTTATTAGAAACTTTTGATAATTCTTTCTCCTCCATATCCATCGGCAAAGCAAGCACACATATGTTTTGTATGGAAATTATACATGAACAATCATGTCCATTGTCAGATATGATGAGCAATTGGAACGATTCCTTGATGAAGATTATGAACATAATGTTGTTAAGAAGGAAGGAAAAACAAAGCAAAGAAGGAGAGCAAAGAAAAATGAAGGCACTCATCTATTTGAAGTATGGACTCTTTTCCTTTGGTATTTGTTAGAAAAATCATTTCCTTTGGTATTTGTAACTAATTTTGTCATTCACTGATGAGTTTTTTATAAAGGTAGAATTGGGATTTTATGTTTTTTTTTTTTTTTGGTTTTTCAACAAGTTAAACTCTCAATGTCCATAAATGCTAGTTTCCAGGGTAAGTTGCAAGGCAAATAGTTTTCATTTGCTTGTATTTTGCATGAGATTTGCAATCATTATTATCAATCAACTCGGTTATTTGTTTCAGTTTGCAAGAAATTTATAAATTCGTTTTCCCAATTCTGGGTTGCTAGTAGCAGGGTGTAGAAGAGTTTGTCCATGATATCTATTTGAGCTGTTGTTATTTTAAATGATCTCCCATCTTTTGTTTCAGTTGTTCCTTCCTACACTAAGGAACTTCTTTCTAAACTTTTTATGGTGTAGGGTGCTAATGACAATGATATGATTGTTTCGGACCAAGATTCGGACAATGATGTGGGTGATCATGAAGTGAACCCTCTGTTAGTCCCTCTTGTAGAAGAAATGCAAACACAGGAAGAGGTAGCAGTCAGGTGGTATAGTCAAGATGTTTTCGATGAGGATGATGGCATGCAGGAATTTGAAAGTGATGATGAAATGAAGAAGCTGGATGATCTCACTCTTGGAGAACATCTGAAGAAGATCAATGAAGCATCTGAAAAGAAACAGCCTGGAAAGAATGCGCAAAACTGTTTACAGGAGGCCCAAGTTTCCAAGGCAAGTGAGGATTTGGAAATAGTTGCTGCTCCAGCTACAGATTATTCCAGCGACTCTTCATCGTCAGATGACTCGGATGAAGATGAAATTGAAACAAAAGCGGAGATATTGGCTTATGCCAAGAAGATGTTAAACAAAAAGCAGCGGGAACTTATACTTGATGATGCATACAACAAGTACATGTATCATGGTGATGATGTTGGCTTGCCAAAGTGGTTTGCTGATGAAGAAAAGAAGCATAACCAGCCAAATAAACCAATCACAAAAGAAGAGATTGCAGCCATGAGAGCTCATTTCAAGGAAATTAATGCTCGACCTGCGAAGAAAGTAGCAGAGGCTAAAGCCCGCAAGAAGCGTGTTACTTTAAGGAAGCTGGAAAAGGTGAAAAAGGCTGCAAACTCCATATCAAACCAGACGGATATTCATGATCGCTCGAAGAGGAGGATGATCGAGCAACTTTACAGCAAGGCAATGCCTAAAAGACCTAGAAAGGAGTATGTTATTGCGAAGAAGGGAGTCCAAGTTAAGGTAGGTAAGGGAAAGGTTCTTGTGGATGCGCGAATGAAAAAGGATCGAAGGTCACTTGGAATGAACAACAAGGGCAAAGGGAAAGGCAAATTCTCACGGAAAGGATAGTAGAAAAAGGATGTCTCTTCGACCAAAATAAGTTTCTTGTTTTCTCTTTTCTTTTCTGGAGGATGAAACTCAACTTGGCATCAATATAATTACATATCAAATGAGAAATAAATAAGTTGCTAAAGTATCAGATTTGGATATTGGAACTAAGTAAAAAGAAAGTTTGTTGATTATAGTCCTTTTGTCCTAAAAAATAAAAATAAAAATATAAATTGACATTGTTGCATTTATGCATAACATTCTACGCTTCTTTTTTTTTTTTTAATAACACATTACATTATAATTTCTGTTGCCATCACACAAAGTGGGGTGAGGCTCCCACAACAGTTTATAAAGTGTGTCTAATGCACAAATCACACAAAGTGAGATGAGGCTCCCACAATAACATACAAAGTATGCCTAATGCGCCTAATGCACAAATCACATAAGGTGGGGTGAGACTTCCACAATAGCATACAGAGTGTGCCTAATACATAAATTATATCTGATCACTAGAAAGGAGAGTAGTTCGAAAAAGTAAACTTTCTCTGACCCGACACAAGAAGAACTTGGTTGGTGGCCACTAGGACAACACCTAGTGAAACAACTTGTCCTCAAGTTAAATTGGAACCCTTGTTTATCTTCCCGATATGTATCGGACAATGTTACACCATGTTTTGCTGATTCTTTAAGACCGTCAAACACGAGTACGTTGGAATGTCTTTATCTCATCATTTTCCGGACATCAAATATTTTCTTCATTTGATTGTTAACTAATTGTCCACTAACTAATTTCCGGCCCTAACTACTACTAGTACTATGCTCGCGCATTGCGCGGCGTATCAATTATGAAAAAATTTTGGTAAGTAGAATAATTTTTTTCGGAATAATGAATGTCATTTACTTTAGAATTGGACATCTATGCTGGTCTTGTTCGAGGGATTCGAGAATGGTTGAAGAGACATTGGAAGGTATGGTTAGGTATGTTTACAGAAAAGCTGTAGTCGATGCCGATTACATAGCGGATTTAATTTCTCGAGGCTTCAGAGGGTATCAACCATTGTTTAGTCTGCCTATAAAAGTTTGACAATGTTTGGAACACGACTTAATTAGTGTTTCATACTCAGGTAGCTTTATAATTTCTTGTGCTTAGGTTCCGCCAGGCGAAATATCATTCATCTCGTCGATCATAAACAATATACAGTTTTGGGGTAAGAAAGTTGATTTAAAATTCATGGGAGGCAAAAAAAAATGATTAACTAATTATCTTTATTCTGTTGATTTGTTGTACTAAAAAAAATTGGATACACAAGTGCATAAAATAGTTTTCCTTTTTATTGTACCAAAAAATGAAAAAAAAAACTTTATTAATGTTTCAATGTTCATAGTTACATTGAAATTTTAAATTATTTTTATTAATGGATGAGATTTTTATTTGGACATAAATTAATTCGTACCATATTAGTTTAAATGGAGAGATCGATTGTCCATAATTTTTAACATTTAGTTTAACCGCCAGATTAATTTTTCACAAAGATAGAACACAAGTGACCGAAGATTGCACACATATTCCTACTAAAAACCCATGCCATAGAATGGTTCTTGAAATGCACCCCATTTACGATTTCTACAAAGAGTCAGCGAGTAACAGTTGAAAACGAACTATGATATATATTATAAGGTAAAACTCGTCAAGATTAATAATAATTTAAAAAATCACCAAAATAAATGATCATCAGAATAATAAGTGATCACATGTAAAAATTATAACAAACCAGTAAAGTTTCCTTTGAATCTAAAACATTAATCCACAATTCTTTAATGACCCATGAAGAAGACATTGAGGCAAAATATGTTTTTTTTTTAAAAAAACTAACTAATCGACTTTGCTTCTGCATTTCAAGAAGTGCCTCTTCTTTCTACTCAAAATTACCCATTAAATCTATTTCTAATATTCACTTCATAGGCACACAAAAAACATAATAATAAAGATAGGCCAAAACAGAATTTTTATCCCAAACAAAGAAAACCCAATTTCGAATAAAAATAATTCCAAGAAAGCCTTTTTTTTTTGTTTTTTGCTAACCTAACTTATCGTCCCTACACAAGATCCTGTTGTTGTTGTTTTAATAATTAATGATCAAATAACCAAATAAGAAAACAAAACACACAAATATAGCTAAAATTGAACGTGGCACTATAAACTAACTAAATTGTAAAAATTGTATCAATGGAGAAATGAGAAACTAATAAGAAGCAACAACAAATATGGGATTCTGACATATCTTAATCTTCTTCTCCCTTCCAAGGCCATCCTTAAGAACACCCAGACATTACTCAAATTAAGCCCATCGGCGCCGGTAGAAGTGGCACACAAAACATCGCCCACAAAGCCGCTTGGTATTGATTTTGCTGGCAGAGGAATAGAGCCGATAATAGAGAAGGAAGAAGAAAAAGTGGTCAATTATGATTAAAAACTCGTGGCAAGAAATGCACAAACTGATTTGACATTTGGTGATCGGATAGTTTAAATTATCATTATCTTTCATTAAATGTTAATTTTCTTCTATTTAATTATCTGCATATTTTTACATATAAACTTTGATTTTAAATTTTGAACATCCAGATGATAAAATAATTTGTACTAGAAATGAAAACTCGGACAATAATTATGGGACGGAGGAAGTATAACGTAAGATGAGAAAATAAGAAAAGAATCATTTATTTTGAAATAATATTTTCGACAATAAATCAAATTTAATGATATTATAATATACATTTATTTTACATTTATCTTTGCCATATTTTATTTTTAAAATTCAAATTTGTTTTAGTTACCTTTTGAAACAAAAATATCTGATAAGATAACCATTGTTTTCTCTTAGATAACCACCAAAAAAAAAAACCTTCTTGGATCACCTTCTTTCTCCTTGGCTCCCACCATTTTTTCCTGCCACGCACCGCTCGTTTGTGCCGCCGCACCACCACCATCATCATCATCATCATCCATCACGTTCCAGAATCATCATCATCATCCATCATCCCACATCACTACTACATCGGCGCTCCTTCCACACCGTTATTCTTGTTATGGGGTTAATTCGTATTCGACAAAGAAGAATCTCAATTCCATGGATTGAGGAGGAAAGGCTAACAGCAATAGAGATCCAATTGTTGCGAATTTGCAACCGGAAATGGAAGATGACCGGATTAAACTTGATCCTGAAGCTGCTCACTATTTCACCATGACCGAATTCACATCAATTTTCTTGGACGCTACAGACATCGGAAGGTACAAAGTGCAAATTTTACCGGTGACAATTGAGAATATAAGTCGGAAAAGGTGTGAAGACCCGCATAGTGTCGGCGTGGGCGGAAATATAATTTTAAGATATTTATGCCGGAATAGGTTGAACGCCGGCGGAATTATAGTGCGAAGTTGTTTACGCCGGAATATGTTGAACGACGGCGATTGATATCGGATATTTATTACTGAATTTAATCCGCGGATAAAAATAAGGGTTAATATCAAAAACACCCCCGAGGTTCAATCGATTATCTAAAACACCCTCCCCTTTCTATGATATATCAAAAACACCCTTTGACCCGTGAAACTTGAAAGTCAGATGATAAGATATGTAAAATGACCAAAAAACCATGTAATTTCCAGTAAAGAATCGGCGGGAATAGGAAGAAGTCAGCCCCGCCAAAAGATTGGATAAAAGTTCAATTATACCCCTTCCAGCAACCAACTTTTAGAAATATATGAAAACCACTCCTCCCATAAACTCACGACCAACATAGTGAACCATCTTCGAAATCCATCCATCTTCAAAACCGCAATGCTCTCATCCATAAACTACTCAAAATGAATCTTCCAATCCATCAGATCCCATTTACATGAGATTAGATTATTGAAAACGTGAAGCAAACAATCCGTAGAAGATTTTACGAAACAAAAAAATTCTGGCAGCATACCTTTTGTGGTGGCTTGTTTGAAATGGTAAGGACACGAATCCCTTCCTACAACTGCATGGCATGGTTAGGGTTGCGCTTTTTTCCTAAATCCATGGTTTTAATAACAGCGATTAAATTTTTGAATATGGAAATCCGAGTTGTTAAAGTTTCAGTAAACATTTGGGGTTTTTTTAATTTAAAGTTCTTTTTTATTGACTTGTGTTGTAATACTAGATTCTAAGAGTATGTAAACTATAATTACGTTCAAAAATTGATCTATGTGTTGTGTTTTTTAATATGTGAGGCTTTACAGTTGGTTCGATGCTAATTTTTTATTTTATTTATTTTTTTTGTGGAGAACCTGGTTGGTTTTATCGGGTTTTATGGTTGTTTTTTGTTGATTGTAATCAACTTACTAGCTTGTAACTGGATATTATATTAATTATAGGATTGTCTGTAATCTGCTCTATATGCAATTTAATGATGTTAAGTTAGAGATTTTTTCATGTGCTAGTTTCAGAAATATTAATGCAATTTAAACTAAATTGCAGGCCGATCAACACTTCAAGTTAAAGTTGTACTATGGAGGTCAACATAAAATAATATATGTGGATCCTTCTGAGTACTCTTTGGTTGTACTCTATTCTGACATCACTGAGGTATTTTTGAACAGGACTGAAGCTTGGAAAGAAATGAATCTTGCTATTAGATGTAGAGTTCCTGGTAATTCAAACTTTGTGGATGTTGATTCTGACAGTCGTCTCTTCGAAGTCTTGAACTTGCATGGTTTTGACAATTTTATCAATTTTTGTGTATCTGACTCTGATTTCAATGCTGGAGATCCTATTAATTTGCATGAGAACATAGAAGTGGAATCTGATCTGCATGTCAATACTGATGGTTTAGCTTTTGGCAAGTCTCAGTTAGGGTTTAGGGACAATGTGGGTAGTGACATTGATATGTCTTTGTATATGAGTTCTGGTGATTTGAAATTGTCTAGGGGATCTGAAGTTTTGGAAAAAGATAGTTTCTTTGTTAATACTGTAGTTATACTTGGACAGTTGCGTGAAAATGTTGGTATGACTTCTGGAAATGTTATCGGAAATCAGAGTATTGTCTTTCATGATGTGAATGACTTGTGTAAGACTGTGAACACTTTTCTGGATGCTTCTGTGACAAAAGAAAAGAAAAAACGTAAAAGAAAGCTACATCAAACAAAAAAACCATGTACGATGAGGAGAAATTCTAGAATCTTCAATAGTAAAGAAGGTACGTCTACTGATAATGTTGATGATTTAGTTAATGATGAACGTAATAGTGAAGATGAGTTATATGCTCTGAGTGATAATGATGACATCCATCTAGAGGGGGACGACATAATGCTCAGCAAATATTCAACGGAGGAATTCGAAAATGATGGTGAAAGTGATAGTGTACTGTCTGACAGCGAGGGTTCAAATGGTGATAATTCTGATAGTGATCTTGAGGAGGACCCAATGAATGGTTGTTTGAACAGGGATGAATTTCAGGTATTAGAAGGAGAAAAGTTCAAGCTTCTGCCTGGTATGTTGTTTGAGAGTGTTAAATCTTATAGGAAAGTTCTATCCGAGTACTCAATACTTTGGGGAATCACTCCAAACAAGATTAAGAATGATACAACAAGGGTTACTTCTGTTTGTAATGATAAGAAGTGTAAATGGAGGTTTCATGCTTCTGTCATGCTTGATGGTGTAACTTTTGCTATTAAGACATGCAACCCTGATTATACTTGCCAGGTTGATGCTTATCTATAAGCTTCAGCAAGGTGGATTGCTGAAAAGATAGAAGCGCTAGTCAGGTCTGATCGGAATGTGAAGATCCAAGTGCTCAGGGAAACTTTATCCAAATATGGAATTCACCCCTTAAATCTTCAGCTTTTCAGAGCAAGAACACTAGCAGCAGAAAACGTTGATGGTAGCCATGCTGATTCTTACAAAGCACTGCCCAAGTATTTTCAAATGGTTATGGCAACTAACCCTGGAAGTGTAGCGAAGATTAAGCGTCATATGGTTACAGGAAATAGAATTCCAAATATACAAAGAGTGTTCATAGGATTTGATGCTGTTAAAAGGGGTTTTATGCAAGGTTGCAGACCTTTCACTGGATTTGATGGTTGTCACTTGAAAGGTCCATATGGGGGGGGGGGTACTATTCAGTGCTATTGGTCTTGATGGAAATAATAACATTATCCCACTTGCAATAGCTGTGGTAGAAGTTGAATGAAAAGAGAGTTGGATCTTCTTTTTGAGTCATTTGAGCTTCTTAATGGAAGGATTCCCAAGGGACAAGGAGTGGACATTCATGACAGATAGGCAAAAGGCAAATAATTTATATTTATTTATTGTGATTTTTAATTAATTTTTATAAAAAATTTCTTACTGATTTGAACTAAATTTTGGGTTTGCAGGGACTACTTGATGCAGTAAATAAAGAAGTTCCACATGCTGTGTGCATAGAAAATGCGCTCACCATATTCTGTCCAATTTTTAAAGCACAGTTTCCAGGGTTACTTCTGACGAAACTATTTTGGAAAGCTTCAAAAGCTTATACAGAAGTTGATCAAAAGGACAATGGCCAATATTCAAAGCATAAATCCAGCGGCTTATAAATGGCTTGACAATATTGGTAACAACGTTTGGGCTAGACATGGTCTTTTTGAAACTTTGAATTGTGATCATGTAACCAACAATATCTCCGAGTCATTTAACAGTTGGTTAGGGGACTTGAGGGAGATGCCCATTCTCACAATGATTGACACATACATGGGGAGAGTGATGACAAAGATAAATAAAAGGTATGCAAAAGCATGTACATAGACAAATGAAGTAACCCTGTATGTTATAGAAAAGCTGAAGACTGCTGCACAAGAATTTAGGAATATGAAATACTAGTTAGCAAGTGGCACCACTTATGAATTTAAGGATGATAATAAGTCCCATGTGGTGACATTAAGGACTAGAAGTTGTGATTGCAAAGTCTAGAATCACACAGGGATTCCATGCAAGCATGCTACCTTGGTGATACTTAATAGAAGAGAAAAACTGGAGGACTATTGTGATCAAAGTCTTTCAAAAGATCAGTATATAAGGGCTTATAGTCATTTGATCAATCCAATTTCGGACATGGATTTCTGGCCAGAAATGCAAGTTCAAGAATGCCTTCCTCCAGTGCTTAGAAGAAGATTTGGGAGGCCTAAGAAAGCTAGGAAAAGAGGGAAAGATGAATTGAAGCGATCCAGTACTATCAAATGCAGTAGATGTAAAGGATATGGGCACAATAAAAGATCATGTGCCGGAGACCTGTTAGGGCAAGAAATGGTCAACAACATCAAACAAATCAGGTTAAGTTTATCTCTTAGTTTCATAATTTTTTGCAATGCATTTAGTTTCTATTATTTAAACTGCTGTTAAATATTAAAAATCATGATTTTTATGTGTTTGATACTTAGCCTGGAGGGGGATATTTAAGCCAGATGGTAGGTTATGATGTAGTTAATCAACAAGGAAATCATCAGGGTGTTCATCATAGGGAATTCAAACCAGGCAACAAGGAAGTCAACATGATGGTTGTCAAAGGGAACATCATATAAGGTTATTAGGAACTCAAGAATCGTCATCTCAATTCAGGATGATGTCAAACAAAACTTCCATGAAAAGTCAGGTAAATAGTTACAATAATCATATGAAAATCATGTTATGAATCCTTTGAAATTTATAACATTGCCTAGTTTTGCATTTTTTCATAGAAAGCATGTTTAGGTTCAAAGATTGGCCAGCAAACAATTAAAAATCAGGTAGCAACTACTGTCTAATGATTTTAAAATGCATGCACCTAAACCTGATGTATACTCATTTTTATGCATGCACCTAAACCTGATGTATACTCATTTTTTGGTTTAATATGTATTTGTGGATTGTAATGGATCAACTTATCCTAATTGGTGAATCTGATCAGTTTGGAGGAAATCAAATGTTGACTGATATGCCCAATCAATCAATAGGTTCGGACAGTGCAAATCAGGTAGGGTGTTTGGTAGTATCTAGTCTTGCATTGACTTGTTTTATGGACTGATATGTGTTTTGTGTATTTAATTATTATTATTATTATTATTATTATTATTATTATTATTATTTTGTTCTTTAGATTGAAATGAATAGCATTGTTTTCCTGAGTGGACATGATCAACCTGGAGGCAAGTTGGTTGGTAAAGGAGGTTCAAGTGCACAATTTGTGACTTCTAAGAAACAAGTAATTTGCATTATTTTTGTGTAGTTGCTTAAATTATTGGTATGTGGTGTATTTGCCATATATTACCCTCGTATTGTCATATATTGCCAGGTTGTGACAAAAGGAAGTAGTAGCCTCGAGAAATTATTTGGAAATTCTAGAGCAACATCTTTGCTTCGAGGTGAGCTTGCTGGGAGGTTTGTGACTGGACAACAATCCAACATCTCTAAACTGACAAATGTTGATGGTAACAAAGCAAAACTAACTGCGGAGAATCCGAAGACAACTAGCACTTCATATAGTTGCAGCTCTTTTGCAGCTTATAAGTCACCAAATGACAATGTTTCTTCATCAAAGCCGCCTTCTGCAATTCCAAAACAACTAGTTGTCAAGGTGTCTTCTTCTCAGCCTACTGGTTCAATTAAAAAGCAAGCAGCTCTTCCTAGCCTGTCAATTCATCTACAAAGCAACCAGTTGCCAACGTTTCCTCATCTCAACCTTAAGGCGCAAAGGAAGTAAATTTAACACCTGTCGGATTGTCTCTTACAAAACCTGCAGTTGGAAGAGTTCCCATTCCACAACCTGATATTCCTTCATCATTTGGAGAACGTTTTCTATAGTAATTAGTAGTTGTTAATGCAACCATGGCTTATAAATATTGATTAAAGTGCTCTTAGGTTGTTATTTGGCATGAGACACGTTAAAGTGCCCTTTATTTGTTAGTTTATAAATATTAATTATAGTAATTAGTAGTAATTACTAATTACTATAGTAATTAGTAGTAATTACTAATATTCACTACAAAAAAAAGGCTTTGGTGACCAATTTTTTTGTGCCAAACAAAAACTTGGTCACCAATAGTAGATTTTTGTGACCTACTTTTTCTTTTAGTCACTAAACTTCCGTCACTTAATGACTATGGTGACCAAGACATGAAAATGGTAACCGATTTGGTCACTAACTGATGGCGGGAATCCAAATCCTTAAGCAATGACCAAAACGGTGACCAAGAAATATTTTTTGTCACTAAGTTTTTGTTCAGGTGACCAACTCTTAAGGTCACTAAAATTTGTTGGTCACCAAGAATTGGCGGAAAATATGCCCGCCATATGTTTGTTGCCCAAATCTTTTTGTTGGAGAATAATCCTTAGGCGGGAAAAATTCCCTCTAAGGTTTGGTGACCATTGATAACTTGGTCACCAAATTTTTTGGCATAAAACCACATATTTTTTGAGTTTCTACACTTTTTTTAATGAATAACAATATATTCCTTGATTTAGCAAACTTATGAGCGTTTTTTAACGAGTAATCTATCTACTAAAAATTACATTGATGAAAATTTGTACTTGATATCTCTTATATATTTCCTTTTAAAGTTAATAATGAAAAGGACATCGGTCTTGATCATTGAAATAGGTGGTGCAATCATGAGAAATGAAAGTCATTCCATGTTTGCCAACCAGTGTCCTTGGTGAGTTATTCAACTGTAAGGTTGTTAGATCATTGGGTAGATCCGAAGTTATAGTTTTTTACTTTTTTGTGTAATCTGAAATTTTAAAAAGTTGATCTCATATATCTTAGTAAGTTTAAATACTGCCATATCTTTATTTTGTAAAATCAATAAAGCGGGTATTATCTCCGCTAGGTACACCCTTGGTTCCACCAAAATAAAAATTTTAAAAAATTGGGATTTTAATTGCATTTCATGTCCTTAATTTATAATTATCATAGTGTGGCACCCTATAATAATTTATAAAAAGACACGAAAGTTTACGTAAATTATAAATTTCTTGAATTTTATAATTTAGATGAAGTGCTTTCGATCAAAATGTTAAAATATAAAAATCACTTATATCAGTTATAGTACTTCCAATTGAACAGTTCAAATGTATTTCTCATGCGAGTAGTTATTTTTATATAAGTGATTAAACCATTAACTAAGTAATCCAAAGAACATAAATACAATCATTGCAAAAAAAAAAAAAGGAAAGAAAATAAGAAGAGGAATATATATTTATGATATATTTATCAATATTATTATCAATTTATCTTTAGGATAGATTAAAGTTTTCTTATTTGGTTAATTTGTTGTATCACGATCGTACTAATGAGGTAGAGTATTGATATTCAATGATATTAATCTATCACCACTTTCATAACTTTGTATCTCTATTCACATTATCTATTAATTTTATTAGAAGTGCGAAATATTTTCAAATATTATATTTAATCATAACACGATTATGATAACCGTAGACCATTAGATCAAACCTAATGCATGTACTAGTAGTGAAGTTTGTTATCAAGTAATACAAGTGAAGAAACGATCCTCTTATGTTTAACAATCATATCAAAATCGATTAAAGAATAATAACTGATATTACTTAAATAAAAAATTATTTAACTAAATTAATAAGAAAAAAATGGTTAAATATTGTATTACAACGCTATATAATTGATATGTTGACGTTCAATTGAAAAAAATAAAAAATCACAAAAGGATGTAATTGAAAATAATTAGATTATTATGAGACTGAAGTAAAATTAAAAGGTGAAGGGTGCTACTTAAGAAAATAAAACGGTGCCACAGTATCATTACTTAACTTTTTAAAAAACTTTAATGATTAAAATAAAAAAGAAAATAACAGAAAAAACAATAAAGTTATTTGCTTAACCACTAGTCTAAATTCCCATCCCTTTCCTTGGCCGTATCCAAACTCCCACGCCTCCTTACAGAAAACACCACACTCACACGCACATAAAAAGAAAAAAAAATCAACTTCGTTCCCGGATTTCTCCCGATCAGCAACGCCGTCAATCCCACTGCAGGAGGCAAGCTGCGGGCGGAGGGGGAGGCGAAGGCGAAGTCTTCAAGTAGCGAGGCGGTGGCGGTGGCGGAGCTTCCAATAGCGTACAACATCAAATCTGGCCGGGTCGGCCGCTTCCAATGGCGTACAACGTCAGATCTGGACGGAGCTTCCAACACCGTATCTTTTCATTGCACAGCCCAACTTCTCTTTCGCTCCTTCACCCCTTTGAACGCCGTTTGCTTCGCTCAAAGTAAGAAGTCTTCACTTTTCTGTCCAATTGAAATATCTGAACAGAAAGCATCAGCCCACGAGGATGACAATCGGGTAAATCTCAGTGGTTTTAAGTTACTTTTTCTTTTCAATGTTCATAGGAGGCCGTAATTTGATTTTTTTTTTGTTTCTCCTCTTCGTCCCAGGCCTATAAATCCAAGTTCTTTTACATATAGTATAGTTTAATGCTGTTTTTACAGATTGTGAAATGGAGTTATGGATTGTTCAAAAATTCATTTTGAGCAGGGCATGTCCATCACTGAAAATATATTCTGAGCTACTGTTTTGGGGGTTCATTTCTGCTGATTTTTGAACCTTCTTTTCTGAGTTCTTTTATGAAACTCTTCTCTGTTTGTTCTAGTTAAACATTGTTTTAACACTTTGTTAAAAGAATAAATGGTTTACTCAAAAATGTTCTTCGAATGCGGCCACCATGGCACCTTAATTCTGAAAATTCAGAATTTAGGATTGTAAAGGTTAACATAGAGTAGCCATTTTTCTTTGACCTTAAAACCCTTTTCTGATGAAACTGCTTCATTTTAATTCTCTGTCTGTCAAGGTAGCTTATAGACTGCAAGAAGGGAGACCTCTAGAAATTCCATTGCAAAAGGATAATTGCATTAGTGTTGAAAAACTGTTGAATGATAATTTTGAACATACCTTTGATGCCTTTGCTGTTTTACTGATTCTGTTTGAACATAGAAGATGCAGTAATTGAAGAGCATCAGGACAACCAAATAAATATTCAAGTGAAGTCAGTATCTTGTTCTCTTGATAATTCAGTATTGAAATTTTTGAATTAGTTTAAGAAATTTATAACAAATTAGTCTTAGATTCTTGAGTTGCACCGTATGATTAGTTGTTAAAGACTATTATCAAAATGTTTAAGTAGATTATGATTTTGAACTCCCGAGTTTAGCTTAGAAATGATGACACATGATTTTGCCCTTTCGGGATTCATATTTAATTGGTTTTCCTTGAATTGTCGAATGAAGTGCTGCGATTCTTTTCATTAAAATTCTGTATGGTATCAATCACTATTCGACCAAATTGTTATTGAGCTTTTATGATTTGTCAAATGGTTTGTGGTAGTTCCAAACACTTGAACTAAAAGATGAGCTTCAAACAACCAACTCTTGAAAATTCTGATACATGGTGAGCAATGTATATTTTGCCCATGATAGCTTCTTGTTCTCTGATTTATCCTAAATTGTTTGTCTTTGTGGGTTATTAGTAAGCAAGAGTAACAACTGTGACTCGTAGTGGTTTTGCATAAGACAATTAGTGATTTTGTTCTCCTATCTTTTTCTGTTGATTGATTGAGTTGGTTTGAGATTAATGGAGGACTAAGTGTGATAGTGTTAAGAGGTTTGAATTAGTAACAGACAGAGTATGTTCCTCTCTCAAGACTTTTGGTGGGAATGAATAATATTTAATGAAGGGCATATTGGTGTTACCTTAACTCATGCAGAACCAGGTGATGTTAGTTGCTATTACAATAAATTCCAACTATGACCTGGCCATGTATTGCTACATTAGTGTCAAAATGCTTTCCAGATCTTTCAAACTATTCTTTTTCTAAATTAACCCTTGTTTTACAAGGATCATGATAGTTTCTTAGAATCAGATGTGGAGTGAGAAACATGGTGAAAGTGGAACAAAGAAATGATAAAGTTTGGCCTCTTTTAACACTTCAATTCATACTATGAGTTCATTATTCCTAGAATTATGATTCCTTTAGTCTTTCTTATAAGAAGTAAAAATTTAAAATGCTTTTGACAGTGAAATGTGTATACACTTTCCTTGCGAAATGGACTTCTGGATTGGACTTTTTTCAGCTTATAACTCAAAGGTAAAAGGTGCTTTTCAAGTGCTCCTGTATTACTTTTTGTTGTATGGGCTTAGTAGTCTTTTTTCTTGCAAAGTTATTGTTGCTGTAGGCCATTTTATGTAGCTTACCTAACATTTTATACCGCATATGTTCTTGATATGTGAGTTTGAAATTAGGCACGCAAAGAAAGTAATATTATACTTGAACTCATTGGTTTCAAGTCCATTAAATAAATTCATGTAGGCTATTTTCTTAAAACCTTTTAATGCCATTGTATACATACCAATCGGTGCATTTATTTCTCATTCGTTTCTTACGTTTGTTCCTTGTTTTTGATAGGAGTTTGCGGTGACTTGTTCTTTGAGGTACATAAAGAGAGCTCATCTAGCTTAGCACGCAAGAAGCTAGGTTGTTTACTATATCATGTCGATTAAGATAAGCTAGGTAGGTTGTAATGGAAGTTGTTGGATTATTTTTTTCAATCTCTTTCATAGAATTGGATAGTGTTTGTTATCAATAGAATTGGACAGGTTGTTATCAAGAACATTTGTGGTTAAATTAATTGTTTTGGAAGTATTTTCATTGGTAAAATTATTGGCCAAATTGTTTATTATCACCAATAATATCGTGACCACTTCAGGTCACCTGAACTAGTTTGTTTTTTTAAAAATAATATTTACTAGTGACCAATTACCTTGTAAAATAAAAAATTAATAATCAGTGTAATGGTCACCAAATCAAGCTGTTCGTTGAAAATTTTGTGACCAACATATTTGGTAACCAACTTTTAACTTGGTCATTCGCAAGCTGCCCAACCTGACCGTTAAAACTTTGTGACCAACATATTTGGTGACCAACTTTCTCCTTGGTCATTCTTTTACAAAAGTTGGTCACCTAAGTCCTTTAGCGACGAGACTTAGTCTACCGACCAAAAATTGGTCACCATTTGGTCACCAAAGACCTTGGGTAACCCGACTTGGTCACAAAAGGTTATTTTAGTGATAGAATCAGTTGGTCAGCAAAGCCTTTTTTTTTGTAGTGATTGGTTTATAAATATTGGTTTGAAGTGCCCTTCATTTGAAGGACGTTTTCTATAGTAATTAGTAGTTGTTAATGCAACCATGGCTTAAATATTGATTAAAGTGCTCTTACTCTGTTATTTGGCATGAGACACTGATTAAAGTTTCTTTTATTTGTTGGTTTGTGGCTTTGAGACACTGATTAAAGTGCTCTGCTCTTGTGAATAAAATTACTAAGGTATGTATTCAGGTTCGAAACGCTTGTGTAATGTGATTATTTCTTGCCATCTTTTTTCTGTAACCAAATTATTAAATTGACTTGAATTGAGTGCATTATTTCAGAGGGTCTATTTTGTAAAAGAGCTCAAAACTAGTTTCATGACATTGTTTTCAATTCTCACATGCATCATATACAATTGCATTTCATTTCATTTGATTATATTTACCTAAAAAAACAAACGAAGATAAGTTTTCCTCCAAGAATACTACAAGTGAGGTTCAATAAAAATGAAGACACAATTTTCACTTTCAATTCTAGACAATAAGCAAAAGCGTTCTAGACAATAAACAAAAACATCCTTAAAATGTGTTCTTTAAAATACATATACTTGTCTGAGTTACACCACAAAATGCATCACTACTTTGAATTTTCATCCCTACAGTCACCAATACAAGTACCATAATATAAATATGCAATGTTCAGGATCAAGAGTCTATTCCACAATTCATTGCCTTTGTAATTACATCCAGCTCTATTAGGTAAACCTGACTCAATTAAATCTCCAATCACTTGTCTTCGTCTCTTTTTCTTTAAAACATGGATGAGAGACTATTATAGGAAAAAGGCCACTTTAAAGATTCATGAAAATAAGTATATTATACAAAATCAAGATGTATCCTGCAATATTAACTGCTGTAGATTCTTTTTCTGTTTTTGGTTACCTGAAGTTTGAGATTCCGGTTGCTGCTGTTGAGTTTGTGTTCCTGCTATTTTGGATCCAAATGTTTATACTCTCCTTGCCAAACCCAACCACCATCTTGAAGACCAGGTCTTAGACCATTTTCATCTTTTGATATTCTAAATATCTCCATTTGATTCTTTATCTCAAGTATATGAAATGCAGGAGTGACCTCAAAGATCTCTGCATCAATTGACAATATTCCCTTTCTCCCTTCCTTTGATCTTTCGAATTTAAATTACCCTCCACACCTTTTCGTTGCTTTTTAGCTTCCAAATGTTTAGCAACTTCTTCCAGCTTTGAGATTATAACTTTAGCTGGTTTTCAAGAAGTGAATCTAGCTTCTCTTTCTCGACAAGGTTCTTCAAATAGTCTGGATAGATCAAATCCAACAGAGTGGGAGATAATGTCAAATGCATTAAAATTGGAAAGTGCCATATGGTTTACTGGTCACTGATCCCTGCTTGCTTTCATCGTCTCTTACACGATATCTCCTCCCCATCTCTTGAGAGCTACAACCAGCATCTGAAAGGTCCGGAACAACCCATCTCAAGAAATTATGGCCTCTACAACCATAATATATCATCCTAGGATTTTCACTAGAAGCTTCCCTCCAAAATAATCGGCTAGGCGGCAATCACTGAGAATTGACAAATTCAAGTAAACCATGATCAAGTATCAATTATCCATATACTACTGAAGTAAACTTGGAACAGCTGGCTTAAATGTTCTAGCTATGGACAGCATGATCAACAAGCATAAATCAGAGGAAAAAAATGCACATTCTTTAGCTGCAAAAGTATATCTTCGTAAAACTGGGCCCAAATCACAACACAAATCCATCTAGATATCTAAATTTGGGGGAAATCGACTCTTTCTGATATAACATTTTCAATATTATTGCTGCAATTTGATGAAGACATGCCTAATTTTTTGTTAAAAAAATTACCCAAAATTTGTTAGTTGAGATCCCACAATGCAATACCATTACATTAAACCATGGAAATAGAGTTCCATACCTAATTGCACTTTGAATTGCCTTTGCCGTCATTGATTACGAATGGAATCTATATTTTCTTGCTTCAGCCCTAAACCCATTCCCTGCCTCAGCCTCTTTTCATTTTAGAGCTTATAAAAATTACGGTTAGCAAAGATTCAGGAGTGAATTACCTTCTCCTTCGTTAATTTCAAACGGGATTGAAGTTTCTCTTCCTTCAACCGATTCTTCCTTCATTCCCTACCCCCTTTGATTTTAGACGTTGAGAAGTTATACTATTGGCAACGATTTAGGAGTGGAGAGATTATTATAGTTTAAATGTAGTTGAAGGATAATTTTGGTACTTCGAATTTGAGTTGCTCTATGTAAGGCTAACTTTGTCTTTACAGTACCTTTTTATTTGCCGTTACATGCTCACGTCATTTTCCCATCCAAAGAGGATTGTTTCGATAGTTGACTTACCGGTCAGGGGGTGTTTTTGATATATCATACAAAGGGGAGGGTGTTTTAGATAATCGATTGAACCTTGGGGGTATTTTTGATGTTAACCCTAAAAATAAATTAAAAAAATCCTGGTAAATATTATTTTGTTATATTAACCATTTTACATAAAAAATTTACGGTGAAAAAAATATTTTTTTTTGATTCTAATGAAGCGATATGTGTCTTGGGATCAAAATTCTTTTTATATATATGTAAGATTCCTTTGACTAAAAAAACTATTTCATATTAAGATTTGAGATTTTTATCTTCAAAAAATTAAAAATAAAATTGAGATTTGTACTATTTTTATTACAAAGTCAAAGTTTAAATTATTTTATGAGAAATCTAGAATAGTGGTTAGGGCCATTAATGGACGATTAGTTAACATTCAAAGGAAAAAAAATAATACTCCCTCCAAAAATTAATTGATTTTTTCTAAATTTCACCTAATACGCATTTTTAATTGACAAAAGAACCTTAAAAATATTTCATAACAATCAAGATAAAACAACCAATATAAAAATATATTTTTAATTTTTTTCATCTATTAAAAATGCGTACTAGGTGTAACATATAGGACAAATCAAAATGTCTTATATTAAGGATGAGAGAGAGTATTTGATGACCCGGATGATGGTGAGCTCAAAAGTGGCGTGATAAAGACATTCCAACGTACGCATGGTGAATTTGATGGCATCTTTATTTAGTTTTGTTAGAGATAGTAAAAATTATTGAGAACGTTTTTCTACCATGTTGTACATACTTAAGTGTCTTTGCTTTGCTAACATCTTTCCCACGGAAATAGTACCTCCGATTCTTGTTTTGATTTTTCCTAAATTTCATTTAGTTTGTTCTTTTAATTGAAAATAAATTCTTAAAAATATATTTTCTGTTATAAAATTAATGATAAACTAATAATATGAACTAAGCATATATAAGAACAAAAGAGAGAAGACAAGAGAATAGAGAGAGATAAGAGACTTGTATTCATATGTATTTTGAAGCATGAATGTGCTCCCAATTTATACAAGAAGTAGGGGATCAAACTGGGAGAAATTAATCACCTATATTAATGCTAAATATTACCGAATTATATCTCCTTGATTGTGAATAGAATAATACATGCTAATTATGGACATTCAATCAAATCAAATCAAATATTTCATAACACTCGCCCTTTGAATGTCCATCTTTGCGGAATAATGCCTCGTTAAAACCTTAGTAGGAAGAACCATTTGGGATAAAACCCTAGTGAAGGAAAAAGAGTACACTTCCGAATGTAACGCTGTTTCGTTAAAAACCTTGTCAGGAAAACCCATAGGGACAAAACCTCGATCAAGGAAAAAAGAGTACAGCGTGGGTTACTCCCCCTGTTAATTATGCCACTTGTAATCTTCTCGTTGCATGCCAAGCTATTGACCAGGTTCCTGATTGTTTAAGTCAATAATAGACATATTACTTCCACTTCTCATGTAGACCGTTGTCTTCATATACCTCTATAATCTTGAGTATTTTATAATAATGGAGATGCTGACCATCATACCTTGAAGGTATCAATATACAACCTCCAAGTCTTGACTAATTGATTAGATGAACCGAAGCTTTATATGGTACTTTAGGACCAAATCGGTCTACATCATTAATAGAAAGTCAAGAAGAATGATCTATATGCACATCAAGATTTTAATCAAGTGCGCTCAACGGGTGTTGAATACACAAAGGTCAAACTATTTAGACCGAGATTCTACTCAAGATTTTTCCTTATCCTTGCTTCAGGCAATTAGTAACCTTTTGAAATTCCTTAGAAGTGTTCAAAACTCTGATATAACTGTTCAGGAGTTTTACTTATGTTCAGTCTATTCGAACTTCGTGATAAATTTCGATAATATTCAGCCTTTTGAAACTCTACAAGAGTTCGGTGCTAACAAAATTGTAAATGCACATATAACTTATAAATACTCACTCTAATAATAGTTATCATCCTATCATTCAAATATGGTCATAAAATAGATAGAAAATCACAAACAACCATGTTATAAAAAACATAACATATCTAGATAAAAACAAACATAGCATATCTATTATATTAAAAAATATGAACCTAAATATTTATCGCATATCTTTTGAATTAATTTCTCGAGAATTGGGAATCATGTCCCTTTTTTTTAATCATTTGGGGATTTCATATAGACATCATTATTAAATATCAAGTATCATGTATTAAGTGATCACTATTTTCAAGAGACGCATTTTTCATTTCTTCATTTACTGCCAGATACAACAAATATTAGAAGAAATTTATTTCCATCTGCCACAAGAGAATAAATCTCCTCATGATTAACATCCGGACTTTCGGAAAACTTGCGCAATAAGTTGGTTGCTCATTAATGTTGCGCACAATCACCCAATATTATTTAGCCGGTGTATTATTTGCCAAAACTTCTAGTCTTTCAAGAAGTTTTAATTCAACTTACACATCTTCTGGTGTGCGTATCGCGTCTTTTCATTTGTTGTGGCTAATAAATTTAATGTCCGTACTCACAATAGACTTTCATGATCCTCATTCATTTCACTAACTGCTGCAGTATATGCAAACTTCATGTCGACATTTTACTACTAATCGATTCTATATTCTTTGGTAATGAGATCTCACAATCATTAAGTTTTCCAAATATTCATATACTTCTTCTGGAAGTTAATTCACCGTAATGGGAAACTATTCCAATTCAAAATTCTTATGAATTATAATCACTCATATTTGCTATCTCTATAAATTTAAACCTTACGAGGATTTTTATCATTTGGAATCGATGATTCTACCACTCATCAAATAGACATTCAACTAACAAATAGTGGTAGGTAGTCCTTCAGGGACACATTATCAAATTCTAAGTTTTAAGAGCCTTTTATACAGATATATTTATACATTCGGTCAGATAAACATCTGGTCTTAAATATTATCTCTTGAACTTCAGGTTCATATCATCGAGGATCAAAATGAGATAATTACATTGTCCATCTAATTTTATAAATAGGTTGTTTTAACTTCTCCCCCTGATGTTAGGATAACAGACTCGCTAAAATGACGATTAACCAACCAAGCAGTTAATAATCTACCTTCTGAGAGTAACTAACTCGTCAAACTAATACGATCAATCTATCGAGTAGTTAATCAAACATCAATAATCTCAAACATTGGAGATTCAATATTCAACTTATATTTCTGACATGTTCTGGAGGCTCCATCATTGTGTGCATTGTGGTGGAATAATTATAATATATGAACTGCACATCTAATATTTAAAGATAAATATGTATGGTTTCTGACCGAAAAACCACTATTTGGGATAAGATCTGCAATGACCTGTTTGGTCTTATGCATATAATTGGTGCCTTTTGTGTTTTAACACTTCTTCAATTATATACGAGGTAATTACTTTAATTGAACACATGCAATAAACGATCCTACTAGACCGCTTCATTATTGCTCTTATAGGCACTCAATGTTCAACTTCTATCATTCTGGTATTGAGTCATATACTCACCACAACTGTCAAATTGAAATTTTGTAAGAGCAGAACATGAAAATCAACAAGTTACCAAATTAACTCCATAATTAAGTTTCTGCAAACTTCAGATTGCAAGTTAACGAGAATCATATATGTGGCTATCTCATCGATATATCGATTGATATTCTAATTTGTTGGAAGAAACTCTTGGTTGTCCAAATTTAAAGCATATAAACTTTGTTGTTTCGTCTTGAAACCAGAATGGGTATGCCAAATTTTACAATTTCTCTTCTGGAGAAAACATTGAATTAATTATTCAACTATACCAGAACAATTTTGCTCCACATAAGCGTTTACTGTGACAGAGTATTTGTTATTCAGTTATTTTCATTCTACCAAAGTGTTCTTGCTTTTTTAAAAATAAAGTATTGCTGCTCTACTAGAGACAACAACGAATTTTCAAATTCAAAATAATTGTGTTGGTAGAGCAATTTATATCCTCCTTTGATATCTTAGAGAATATAATGTATCTCAATGCACTTTCTTCTTCTAAAATTCTCTTGCTCTTTTAGGAGCAAAGTTTTTTTTACTATTGCTCTTCCAGAGGTAATGATGAATTCATTATATTTGCTCTTTAAGAGCATTTATTTGTTTTCACTCTCCAGAGTAATTATACTCCACGGAAGTTTTCATCTATCTTTACAAAATAATTCAATGGCATATGCTCTACTGAAACTTTTAATTGATTTCGTGTTTATCATTGACTAACATCCCCTTCAGGACGATTAATAAAATTCACAATACCCATAGAGGTAATATGAGTAGCACTATGTGCAAGGTATACTTTTGCCATTAACAAATTTAGATCTTATTTTCTTTGAAACATGTAGATAGAAATGTCAATTAAATAGTACCATTACTATGGTGGCCAAAAGACCACAACAACTTCATGGTGTTTGACATATTTGATATTTTCATCTCTAATTTTTCTAAATCACCTTCAGGGCGTTTTGACAAAGATTGAATTATGGTTTGTTAATTCATTATCGACAGGACTAATGAATTCATCTACTTTCAATACTATATTGAAGATATCAATAAGATAATTGTGAGTATGCAGAACATGTGAACCCAATGATTTTATGCCACAATGATAGCATTTAGAATATACTACTTTTCAACTTCAGATCGATAGTAGTATTTTCACTATTTTTCCAACTTTAGGTCGTTAATAGTATATTTGCTAGAATCACCAGTAGCATTATTTCATGATCGTCACATTTACTTCAAGAAATGGATCATGTCTAAATTGAACATGTCTTCAAACTATTCTCCAACTTCAGGTGAAGAATTGCATAGATACATAATTACTGTAGATTTAATGTCTATAATTTGCCTTGGAATAATTTACTGCCCACTCACTTCGGAGAATAGAAGGAAAACAATTCATAAGATTTCATCAAATATTTCGCTATAATGCTATTACTGGAGCATTTTAATTTGGTAAATATGCTATGACAACATTGCTACTTCAGGAGCAACTTTTATGCATTTTCATATTGCTATTAGTAATATATTTTACTTGCATTACTAAATATCACTAATACTATGAGCAAAGTAGAATATAAAAGTACAAAGTAAAATATGAGAAAGAGATTTCTTTCTATTAATACATTTTTACTAATATTAATAAACGTATGATGATAAAATAAAGTGTTTTCCTTGCAATCTAAACATCAAAGAAATTAATTCTTTAAAGAATACATTTTTTTTTTTTGCACACATGGATACTATCGCAATTACCTACAACTTATAAAAATTTTATACATTCACATGATCAACAATCATATACATAGCTTAAGAATTTCATCGTGATTGTATGATATGAGTAAATAGAATTTATAACAAGAAATATGTTTCCTTCATATGGAAACCAAATATGCATGATTTATGCTTTACCTTTTTCCCCCATCATCATCATTTTGAGCCATTAAATTGAACCCCATGATGAAGCGTCTCAGTGTGGATAGAAACTTGTGCACCGGAAAACTTTTGAGGTCACGGCGCTTCAGGCGCTTTATATCACGAAAGCCTTTTAAAATATTCATTGAGGCTTTAAACCTTCAGAATTAATACGCACCAACTTCAGGCGGTGGTATTAAAATATTCATCGAGGCTTCAGGCCTTCAAAATCAATACGCACCAAGTTCAGGCGGTGGTAGAAGCTCTTTTACTAGAGTCTTCGTGCCGATAACGTGTTACAAAATTAATGATAAACTAATTATATGAACTAAGCATAAGAACAAAAGAGAGAAGACAAGAGAATAGAGAGAGATAAGAGATTTGTATTCAGATGTATTTTGAAGCATGAATGAGCTCCCTATTTATACAAGAAGTAGGGGATCAAACTGTGCGAAATTAATCAGCTATCATTAATGCTAAATATTACAGAATCATATCTCCTGGATTGTGAATAGAATAATACATGTTAATTATGGACATTCGATCAAATCAAATCAAATATTTCATAACATTTTCACATTTATTGTGTTTTATTAATTATTATAATATATTTTAAAAATTTTATTTTCAATTATAAGAATATACTAAAAATAAAAATTCAATGTGGACATGGTAGATGGAGTATTGTATCAAATTTGTACTGCTGACGACGTGACTGTTTTAATCAGGAGCGTTTATGTAATACGACGAAATTAATTCTTATTCATTGGGGTCAAATCTGTTTCTTTTTGGGGTAAAACTAAAATATTCATTCTCTACTTCCATCCATTTTCCTTCTTTCTTTCTTTCTTTTTTTTTTTCTTGATGAAACTTCCATCAACTTTCAGTGACAGGCCAAATTCTTGTTGACATTTTTACTATTTTTTAGTTTCTTCTCCCCGCGTTGATGACGGGGATTTTCGATATTTTAATTAACGTCCTCTAGTGACAAGAAATATATTACCAGCTTCTACATCTTAAAAAGTATTTCTTTTTTTTGTTTTTCTAAATAATTAACTAATAATTTAATTAATCACTTCGTGCCAAAAAAATAATCTACATAGTGTTTTTAGATTGTACAGTACAGTACAAATTTAAAAGCTCGATGTGTACTATTTTTTGGACAATTTTGAGATTTGGCATGCCACATTTTCTCAACTCCTACCATCCCTATATACATACTACACTAGTACACAACTTAATACATGCATTTTAAATCGACCCAACAGAAAAAATACATTTCAAAGAAATTCAAAAAAATGGTTTCTGATCAAAATGGATATGTTTCAAAACGTGTATGCGTAGTTGGAGCAGGTCCATCGGGGTTGGTGGCAGCAAGGGAGCTGAAAAAAGAAGGCCATGATGTAATTGTTTTGGAACAAAAGCAAGAGATTGGAGGTCAATGGCTTTATGATCCAAATGTTGAAGATGAAGATCCACTTGGAAAGGGTTTGATCCGAAAGGTTCATAGCGGCGTTTACGCATCTTTACGGGTGTTTGCTCCGAGGGAAGCCATGGGTTTTCCTGATTTTCCGTTTGTTGTGAAGGAAGGCGGGGATTGTAGGAGACATCCAGGCCATAGTGAATATCTTGAGTACTTAAAAGATTTTTGTGAGGTTTTTGGGTTAAGGGATTTCATTAGGTTTAATACTCGGGTTGAATATGTTGGAATGCTGAATTATGAGGGAAACAATGGTGATGATATTAAAGACTTGAAATGGATTGTGAGAAGTGTTAATTTAAAGAAGCAAACGAGGAAGCGCGACGACGGTGATGAGAAGGCCGCGGCGGCGGTGGCGGCTGAAGAACTGTTTGACGCGGTGGTCGTCGCCAACGGCCATTATTGTCAGCCTTATTTGTCTCCCATCAAAGGTAAGTGCTATGTGTGAATTTATTTATTTTTTTAATTTTTATTTTATGTTGAAAATAATGTTCATGCTACTTGGTTTACAAGCTGGAATATCATGAAAATTCATCTTAAATTTTATTTCAAGAAATTGTTATACTGTAGAAATGAGAATGCCATCGGAAATAAAAATGAGTAGATTGGTCAACTTTTGTTTGTGAAGGCATGGAGGATTGGAAAAGGAAGCAGATGCACAGTCATGTTTACAGAACTCCAGATCCATTTAAGAATGAGGTAATGCCAAAGCTTTAGTTAATTAATTAATAGATCTAAATTTGGAGGTTTTTAAGATGGTGTCATCACATGATAGAAATTAAATAATAATGCATCTCCTCTGTCCTAATTAAATGATGAGTTGAAATACGTGAGGAAAAACTTATTAAGAAAAGAACGAGGAAAGATTTGTTTAAACACTAAACTTTTACACCAACTTTAAATTACTGTTACCAGGCACCGTCTACAGAAAATCGATGTGTAATTATAAAAAATATATATTTTTTGATAATTTTATTTCAAAATGAAATTTCTATTCTGTAAAACTATAAAAATTAGGAAAAAAATATATTTTGTAAAATTTAGAGTCTTGAAGGGAAGGTGTGCTTAGTGTCAGTGACTTAGTCCACATCCATCATTCGAGCTGATTTTAATGGAGATATTGTAAAGAATACAGATAAGCAAAATTTGTGTTGTTGGAGTCATTTTTCTTGAATGTTGGGATTAATTTTAGAAATTAATTTTTCACATAGACAATTATAGTGGGTATGTTGTTGTAGTTGTTGATTTCACATAGACAATTATCTTTTTTTTTTAATTTTATTTTAGGCGAGAAAATAGTTTTCTACAACTGCTACGTGTGCTTCTGACACTTGTTTGAAATTGTTAAAATGGATGTGTAAAACACAAATGAGAAGTGTAAGAATCAATGGATGTAATTTGTCCTCACCATTTTTTTTTTCTATTTTTTCTTGCAAAATATTCCCATCATTTATGAACATCCTTAAAGAATTGCCTTCTTTGCTCTATTAAAAAAATACAATTAAAAAACAATTATTATGAAACGAAGGAAATATTGGTTATTCTGAACTCCATATATCAGGTTGTGGTTGTTGTTGGAAATTCGCAAAGTGGGCAGGATATATCAATGGAGCTAACAAAAATGGCGAAAGAAGTCCATTTCAGCGCCAAGGATAAGAGCGTGACAGAGGGCCTATTAAAAGTCATTTCCAAATGTAGCAATCTTCATCTTCATCCAGTGGTCTGTTTTTATTCTTCATGTGATATTTAACTTCATTGTCGTTTACCTTTCCTTTTTTTTTTTTGTAATTATTGTTGGAATGATCAAAAGATAAGTAACTAATATTGGAAAATCGAGTTGATGTAAAATGTGCAGATAGATTCGATGTATGAAGATGGACGAGTAGTATTTATAGACGGTAATTCAATCATTGCGGACACAATCATATATGCTACCGGGTAATTCTTAAAAATATTCACCATGAAGATTATAGTAGAAGTTACTAGTGATACTCTTTGGGAGAATCATAGAAAACCTTATTGTAATTTTCTTTTTATTGTTTATATTTTGCATATGATCCGCATAATTTTATTTTATTTTTAATAAGGTCAAAACACCCACAAGAGATCTGAATAATTACTGACGTTATTTTATGATCATGTGGCAGCTACTCCTATTCGTTTCCATTCTTGGATACCAAAGGAATAGTGAAAGTGAATGATAATAGAGTTGAACCTCTTTACGAGCACACATTTCCTCCTTTGCTTGCTCCTTCTCTTTCTTTCATTGGGATTCCAAAAATGGTACTTTTTTGTTTTTGATGCTTTATTCTTTCGGAAAACAAAAGAATTAACGTTTCCTAACTCTAATTTCTAGTTCCAATCCTGAATTTCAACATAGGTGTTACTCCCATTCTTTGAGTTACAAGCAAAATGGATTGCCCAAGTTCTCTCAGGAAAAAAGAAGTTGCCCTCATTTGAACAGATGATGATATCTGCCCAAGAGTTCTATCATTCTAGAGATTTATCCAGCATTCCAAAGCATTACACTCATGCTATCATACCATACGATGGTTTTGAGGTAAAGATGACTCCTTTCATACAAACTAGGTACTAGAGTAACAAGGAAGATAATCAAAGGGGTTGTAGTGGAGTGATAAGAACTCTTTTAATTTAATCATAGGTTGAGGATTCGAATCTCGCCATTGGCATGGAGCAATTTTAAATTCTTTAAATAGTTCTCCCACTCATCGAGGTGTCTACCACGAGTAAGGGTATGAAAAAAAAAAACAAAATAAAAAAAACCATCGAGTGAGGGAATAAAAAAAAAAACAAAAAAAAAAGTAACAACAGAGATACAATTATCTAGTTAAGAGAAAGGACAAAAAACAATATTATTGTAATTCAGAAGAACGGAACATATCAATTTACATAGTTAAAATTTACAAATAAATTATTGACTAAACTATTAGCTATTACATTCACTAAACCAATTCATTGGTTTGTTGTTGCAGTATTGTGATAAATATGCAGATTTCTCGGACTCACCACATTTAGAAGATTGGAAGAAAGAGTTAGTTTTGTATAGTGCATCGAAATATTTCACTGATTTGGAGAACTTTCGTGATTCAAACGACCATGACCACAAGATGCTTCAATTGGCTCAACAAATCTATAATTACACTAAAGTTTAGAGTTCAAACTTCTTTATGTTTTTGCATGTATCGATTATGGTAATGAGAAACATCACAAAATCTTTTAATGTACGTTTGGGATTTCGATTGTCATCTATATAAATGAATATATTTATGTGTTCATATTTTCTGTCAATGTTTTATCTACTTTTTACATTCTTGATTAAAAGAGCACACACTAAAATCTGATAACAATCTTTCTCTCTTCTCCCTCCTCTTCCTTTTCTGTCGCCTAATTTTTTTCTCCATCTTCCCTGCTATGGGAGGATGGAGAGATAATTTGTCTCTTCTTTTAGCTTTCTTAATTTGAATAAATTTAGTTTATCAGTAGATCAAGATCTACTGGGTGTTAGTAGTTTGTCAATAGATATGATTCTATTGACTGTAATTTAGTTCTTTTGTTGTTGTGTGTAATCTTTAATCTATGGTTTTATCCATGAGTTTACTGTTATGGTTCATAGTCATGGTTTATGTTTGAGGATTTGCAGTCAAAATAGATCTATATTTTAGATCTATTTTTTGGGGTCTTCATCTGATGACAAGTGAAGTATTCGAGATCCGGGATTTTCTTTGGTACGTGATACTTCCAACAAATATTTGCGGGTGCTGTAGAAGAGTTTGTGTTTTGGTCGTCTGCAGTAAAAATGATCGGTTGATTCTTAGTTAAAAAATTCTTGTCGATTGTTGTAATATGTTAATAATTGTAATCCTCTGTTAATCGTAGTTGGACGTTTTCCAACAAAGTTAATGAAAGTTTCTTTATGACAAAAAAAAAAAAAAAACATTTCAAACAGATTTTCAAAAGAAGCACTTCACGATCAGCTTTAAAGCAAATGAAAAGAAAGAACCTAAACACAAAAGAATGCAGTACATGCACATTATGTTTAACCACTACTTAACATGCACAACATCACAACTAAAGTAGAACAAGAAAAAAACAAAAAATTGGCTGGTTTATCCAGCTTTCATGTTCTCTCCACAGGTGGTAGTATAACCAAATCAAGATTTCCAGGATAAGGAGTCCACAATTCTAGTCCTCCCCTGTTCTCTTTCAAACTAGGATCTTCCTTAAATTCAGGAAATGATTTCACCCATTCTATTGTAGAAGAATGTTCCCTAATATGTGGATGCAAAATAAAAAAGTAGTTGTATTCAAAGTTCGGAAACATGAAATATTTGAAAATGCCTCCTAATCTATATACAATGTACCCAAAGCGCAGCTGATCTCTTGGCGTGAGAAGGTCAACCTCATTAAACCATAAGCAGCTAAACAGATTATTCACCGTTGTGTGCTCCCAGATTATAATGGCACCTTCAGGCACATCTGCATATTGCATGAGAATTTTTATTGAATAAGATATGATGTTGCTCCGGATATGAAACAAAAGTATAACTCATAGATTTTACCGGCCAAAAAAATAAATTTCTAAGTGCAAAAAGCAGGACTTGTTCATGAGCTCCTTAGGAATCAAGAGGCGTTGAAAGAATTTACAAGGTAGAAGTTTTACTGTTTTTCTTCAGACTCCATGGCTCCAACCCCTCGTAATGGTAGGTTTTCATTCAAAGATCAATCAATGGATGGGGGTATCGCTACCTCCTTTTGTTTGAATCAGCATCTTAATATATGCTCTTGTGGTGCTTATGTTGTGCAATTACGAACTTGTGCTCTTTTTGCCAAAGATATCTGAAGGAGAAGTAAAGAGAACCTTGAGTTCACATACGATCATACTTATAGTTTTGCAAACAGGCGCAGATAATAACGAGAGTATAAAATAAGTTTTCTAATAGCCATCTATACATCATTCGTTATACTAAAACTTGCTTATAAATTATAATGCTTTAAGAACAGGACTTGGTCCGACAAAATATAATGCTGTTGTAATTGTGGATAGCCCAACTCATGGAGTACGTGATGAGGAGGATCCATATGAGTTCAACCCTGGAGATGATCTGATGGTCGATGATAGCCAAACTCGCTGGCGGCCGAATCCTTACCCTGAGGAACCAACAACTAGATGGCGAAGTGATGGTGGTAATGTTGCTGATGATGCAACTGTGGATGAGGGGGTGGCTTTGGAATCAACAGTTCTTAGTAGCCTTTGAGGAGAAAGTATCGGGGACATGCATAAAATGTTGGGTAATAATTGATTGGTAGATTTATAGCATTGTACCTCCTATGTGGGGTGGCTTAGTTGATCGTGAGCTTCTACCTATGTGATGTGACCATTTAGTATTTTAGGTCTTTGACCTCCTTCATTTTACCCCAAAAAAATTAAAAATTATAACACTTTAAAGACACCTTATTCTTATCATAATAATATTTTCGGTGAAATCTGCCATGACAAAACCATTGTGATCAGATATCAGCTTTAACAACAGATGAAGTCTTATGTCAAAAGAACTCAGTAGCCCTACGTCCATATGAAAATGTAAAAGGACGAGCATGTCCACGGACCCTGAACTCGCACTGCCTGACATGTTGAAATCCTTTGAAATCAGTTGCCACTATACCTTTCTAATTTAAGCAATGGATCAACTATAAGCTCCAATTTACCATGAATCCAAATGTTGTATTGCGCTTGAGGAAATAATCAATGGGTTATTATCTTTGGAACCTTTCCATTCCTACTGGGCTCATCGTAATGTGGATGCTTAAGTAAAATCAGACGCCAAATACCAGCCCACTCTCCATTGGCCTCATCCTCTCTTACGGTAACATTTTCCTTGATTAATTTGTAAGATACTTCATCCACCACCATCAAGAAACAAAAGAGCTTCCACGAATGCTCGCTTATATTTGATGGTTGCAACAGTAAGTCATACCCATCAAATATACCCGATGCAACCACAAACTGACATTTTTTGACAACGGAAATGTCTTTCGTGTCCATATCTAAACCGCTGTTATTCTTAAATCCACAATGCACATGTTATAATATCTATAACTGATTAAAAAGAAATATGAAACTAAAGAACTACCAAACAATATGTTTGCACGGAAAATTCTGTTCAATTGCTGTATTGCATCTCAGTCCAATTAATAGTCTAAATCCATCACCATACGCACTTTTGTTATGAGAAGAAATGTTGCTGTTACAAAAAAACAAACATGATATAGATCATGCAGCTCATTTCTTGTTAAGAGGGAGGGAGAGGGGGAGATCAAAGTTAGGGTGGTAAGGACTACAAACTACAAAGGAAGCTATGAACTTATGGTGTGTCGATTTCACAAGATCGATAAAGTTTAGCATGATAAACACCCTACTTTCCTTGTTACAGAAAGCTGCACAAAACGATCAATTTCAAATGAGTGTATAGGAACTTTTTGAACTTTCAATGAGGTAAGAAACACATGAAGGTCTCAATCATTTGAAGAAATATTTCAGAGAAATACACCCAAAAAGGAAAAAAAAAATGGTGCATTTACAAATAAAAAGCAAATTCAGCCTTAATATTCCAATTACATCAAAGAGCAGTTTGCTATGCATCTTTTTGTAATTCTATATATTCCAAAAGAAAGACATATGTATTGGCTTCAACCTCAGACAGTAGACACGCAACCCGTGTGTACATGTTTCAACCGGTATGGATCTTAATCAAAGCTTCCTGAATACTATTTAACTTAAGCATATACTCTGACTCTCCAATATTATGAACAACATTGCAGGGCTTATCCCAGGTCGAACTAACAACTGCACTTGAATAATAAAATTCCAATTCTGACATATCTTCAGGCCTATTTCATGCAGTAACTTAGTCAAGTTTTCACATCCAACTAAGCTAATAGAGTAAACAAAATAATGATAGTGGTCGAGACCCCCAAAATAATTAACCTACTTAGAATTGCAGATATTGGTAAGCATAGTCAATCCCATAGGGACGGGAGAAACTCTAATTAACCCCAAATAATTCAAAGAAGAGATGGTAAAGAGGGTAACATGAAAATAAACTACTAGCTACAACTCGGGCAAGTGAGAATGTGACTTCTCCAAGTGGACAGAGAGAATCATAAACAGAAAGGAACTTAGGTTATCCCCCACTCTCTCTTTAGAGTTGGGCTATAGTTTTATTTGTGCCTTTTGCTAAATGAATTATGCTTGACCAGACACTCGTATACCTTAAGTTCACTCTCGATACCCGAAAGGTGTCCCAGCATAACCAATTAAACTATATCTCTAAGTCAATTTGCTTTACACCAAAACATTAAGTACTTAAGCTTTATATGATTACCCATGCCAAACAACTAAGTCTCCTTTTCGGTTAAAACCAGAGGTTGTTAACCCATGTTTCACTGTTTGGCAGGTGAGGATCAAACATGTTTTCCCAAACTCCAATTTTGTAGCGGACTACTTGGCATCTGAAGCAACATAATATTTAGTAGGATTGTATTATCTACAAGTTCCACCTAGTGGAGTTAAGCCATGGTTGGAACAAGATGTTATTGGTGTCTCTTACAATAGGAATATTCTAGTTTAATTCTGTTTTTAGGCATTTTGCCTCCTTCTTTGTACTGAAAAAAAAAACTATGTTTCACTATATCAAGATACCATAGTATGAATGCACAATTAACTAAGTGATCAATTTAACTAAAAGATTGATTCAAACACTAAAACTGGAAATAATAAATCATATAGGAGCATTTCCAAAACATACTTGTATAGATAAGAGGGGTTAGACCCTAGAGAAGAGTTTAGCTACCTATATATATACAGATACAAACAAAAAAGGATGCATTAAGAATATTAAACATTAATACAAAGAAAGGAAATAGCTAAGAGAAGAATAAAGAACTCCCGGAATTGATGTTGTCTTCAGGTGACATCCTCGAGTAATCTACTGACTTTCCTGAGTGGCAGAGGCTCCTCCTCCTCGCTGCTCTTTTTTCAAACCCTTTTGTATTGTATCTAACTCTCTCCTTGTATGACTTTTTCTCCGATTCTCCTTTTTCCCCTTCTTTCGCTGCTGATCTTCTTGTTGTATCGAACTTGAAGGATGACACTTTTTAATATTTTAGTCTCCATGAAATCAAGGAGTCAAGATCACTTTTTGCGATAGTCCTTAATTCACTTTATTGAGCCCATACCTCCATGTCCGCTTGTCTAATTTTATCCACTGTTTTGGGTTGTTTTCACCCACAAAATCAGCAACATCACATCAGCTCCCTTCCTTAGCCTCTAAGCTTTCAAAATTTAAATTCTTGAGCCTCCATTCGTGCAGCTCCTTTTCCGGGTCAAGTCCCATCAGTAACATCAACAATAGCCACTTTGGGGAGTGATGTTGTTGGCTTCCTTGAGTGGCAGTAGTCTTCTAAAACTTTGCTCTTTTTGGCCATTTGAGCCCATATTTTGCTCAAATGCACAATGGAGTACCTCAATCACTCAAATGTAGAAAACATAAGTAAAACCAAACAAATCCTAATAAACTAGACTCATTTACAAGTGAAAAAGAAGCTAAATATGCTTGCTAAAACATGTAAATTTGACACTCACCAAATAACCTCTTTGAATTTCAATTTAATGATATAGCAAGAGTAAACAAAAAAGTAGTAGGAGATTCAAGTAAATAAGAAACCAACAAGTAACTCATATTAAGATATCGTAAAAACTACCTGAATGGAAAGTTATAGAAGACTGACACATGACAAAAGATGGAAGAGCAACACAGTGAGAATTAGTAACAACCAAATAATTCCAGCAACCAAAACCAATAAAACAAACCCCATTTTCCACGTTATCTTCAAAGAATCATCTGGTACAAATTTCTCACCTAAAATGAAAAAAGATATTAGCAAACATAGAAAAATCAATAAGGGACTACTTCGAATGTTGTTAGCTAAATTAATAGAGCAAACATGATTCTTTGCTACCTTTTTGATGGGATGGAGGATTATGTTAAGGCCTTCCACTAGGCCTTAACGACACTGATCAGTTATTAGTTTATTAACAAAATGGTATCACATAGAGTAAGATGTTGGCCACTTTAAAATGCGCAGATTCGTATCACTCACCTCAGTTTAAAACATCCACGAAAGTAGTTAAGACAATTCCCTTTCGCCACCAAGGCCCATGCGGTTGCTAGGTAATTTAGATGCTCAACACAGTAAATGAAAAATGAAAAGTTGAGTTTCTTGACAAGGAAACATGTTTTCTACAATCGCAGCTCATTAATCAAACAATATAATGTAAAACACTTAACCGAAAGTGTAAATCTACAAAACCACATTGCAAGACCAAAATCAGTTCTAATTTAACTGAGGAATTAGCATTCTCTCAAACAGATACTTGCAAAGAAGCAAATGACACTTCCCCTACCACCTACCAAAGCCGCCGATGTCCCGATCTGCTGCGACCCTGAAGATCCGGCGTCGATCTGTAATGTTTCGCGTCTAGATGGACCGCCGGTGACAAGCAGCTCCAGATCTGGTGAAGCCAGTGTAAGTCTCCAACCCAAGCTGGCTGACACTGGAAAGTCACAGAAAATCGGGCCACCAAACCGGTTTCACTATTGAACCGGCCACCTATTCTGGTTCGGTTATAACTAACAGACCGGTTCTTACTGTTTTGTCAGTTTCTTTTAAATTATAACAATTGGATTCTACAGTTATTGAAATGTCCGATTAAATTGCGGTAACTGATGAATTATATTTTGGTGACTCTGTTGGAGATCAACAGTATTCTGTCTCTCGATATATCACTCACAGGTCTAGATACTCCATATGCCCACCAAATGCGACAGTTTAGATTTGTGATCCTAAAGAAACGAATTACGTTGACTGGAAAATAAATATGTTGTTTTTATACTAGGGTTACTAGAAAAAATAGCATAAAAACCCAACATCATATGTAACTCGTATATTTTCGATTAGGTTTCTTTTGAAAATATCAGTTTCGTACGGATATTTACAGTTTCGTCATTATATGATGAACTCTTTATTGTACAGGTAGGTCTTAAGCACTGCTATGAAATTATTTCTCTTCATTTATAAAATAGCCAGGTTCTGACCTGGTTTTTTTTTTTTTTTGTTTAAATTCAAATCTACAACATGACAACCCGACAAAAACTCTCAGCTACACTACACTAAGAGGGGCAATCTTTCCAATTTTTTAGCATGTTCCAAACCAAGGTTTAAATTACCGAAACAATACGGTTTTACAAATATAGGTTTGTACAGAATCAGAGATATCATTGAAGTGGAATATGTCTGTTGCTCAAACTTTTGGAGATCAGAGGAAGGTTTTTCCAGTTTTTTTTTTAATTCTGGATGGCATCTTGTCAATTTGTTCAAATGGTAAAAAATAATGCCCACACTTTCCGCCTAATTACCAAAAAGTACACCTATTGAATGGTGTTTCACCGTCATTCCCATGTGTGTTTATATACTAGTACTCGTGTCCTGAAATTCTTATTCAATTTGAATTTCATGTTTCGTTCAATCTGTATCAAAACTGAAAACTTTAATTGGACAATAATTTGGAAAAAAAAAGGATTTTCTCTTTCCTCTCTCTCGACGTACAATCTTAACATGCACCAACCATGGTGGGTAGAAAGAAGAAAGTAAAAGCCGTGAAGTTGGATCTACAACCAGAGGATGTAACCATCAAGGCTGATTGTCTTAGTATTGGGGAAGGATTCTCTCGGAAGGGATTATTGAAGAAGGTGGCGGATCGACAAGTAAAGGAGCTTGACAGATTGTTATCGGAAATTGAGGGGTCTTCGTCCCAAAAATTGATGGATACTACTGCTATTTCATGATCGATTACGCCACAAGAAGGGTGTTGTGGTGTGAAAGCGTTTAATAGGGCTAGATTGAGTGAAGGAAGCTTGAAGGAGAGGATACAAGAAGTTGGAGATTTTAGGGTTTCGGCGAAGAACACCAAACAACAACTCCTTTGGTCAGAGAAGGTTGAACGTGAAGAAGGGAAGCAAGGCTGCGAAAATTTTGACGTAGATAAACAAAGAACTCCTACTGGAAAGCTTGAATTCATCCAGCCACGACACTGTGAAGGCATGATAATTGGGCAGATCAGAGAAGAGGATGTGAAAACTGAGGCTAAATACTGGGCTTCATCAATCGTCTGTTTTGTACCGGGATCGAACCCTCCCTTTTGGGTTTTGAATGATTATATTAGAGGGAGATGGGGTCAATTTGGAATTGACAAGGTAATACTCCTCCCTAGTGGCTTGTATGTTGTTCGTTTTTCTACCATGCATGCTAGAGAAGAGGTTTTGCGCATTACTATCCATCAATTTGGCTCTGGACCATTCATAGTTAATCCTTGGACTGCAAAAATGAGATTGAATTATAGAGAAGTTGGAAAGGTGACAAGCCGTCGCCACACTAGTCAAATATTAATTACCTACTTAATATAATTACTAGTAGTAAAGTAGCAAGTAGGGTCGATCCCACAAAGAAGGTTACTAAGTACTGGTTAAAACTATTTCTTATTGTTATTTAGATTAATAATTTATCAATTTTAAACTATTCTAAACCTAATAACAATATCAATTATTTAAAGATATAAATAAGTAAAAGAAAAACCTAGGGCAAAGGGTTCACCAACCGACTATTCAGTTTAATTTAATATATAGATATGTGACTTTTGACTCTCATTAATCTTACGACAATTCACCAATTTAAGAATTATACACACTCGTGTCATAACTCTCGTACTTAAACTAACCCTATGACTACTCTCGTGACTATAGGGATTAATAAAAGTACATTAAGAACTTTAGAATTACTAGTCACAAAAGCGGTGTTCCTACTCTCGTGGCTCACTACCTAAGTTTATTATTCCTACAAACTAATACTAGCCTTCCACTCTCGCTACTTCAGCTAGCACCTTAAAACATGCAAATATTGATCAGGTATTCACATGGATGAAAAACAAGAATAATAAATATTAATTAATAAAAAAGTCACAATCATAATTTAAATTAACTTAAATAATACGGCGGCTACATCCAAAACCCTAGATTAAATAATTTAGCTATACATCATCTCAAAAATAAATTAAACAATGAAACCCGAGAGAAGTAGGCAAAAATTGAGTCCGGAAATTGATCCAATGCTGCTCCTCTTGGCGATGATGGTGCGTAGGTGATGAGGTGTTGGTCGCGTGGAAAAAAGCTGGGAGGAGAGGGGTTTGGTGGTGTGCGGGTTCGGTTTGGTGCGTCGATGATGGGGAGTTGATGATGATGATTAAGGTGATGATGATGGGATGAGATGGTGATGATGCGTAGTGATGGGGTGCTGGAGCTGGGTGGGCAGGAAGGTGGAGCTGTGTGGGTTTTTTTTGGTTCGGTGGTGATGCTGGTTAAAGTGATGATGATGATGTCGAAGTTCAAGGCTGATGGATGGTCAAGGTGGTGGTCGGCGGAGGTGATCAAGGAAGCAAAGTGGAGCAGCAGTGAGTTACAGCGCCGGAGGGGGGTTTTCAGCTGTGAGAGTTTCGGTGAGATTTCGGTCCAGTTCGGTTGGAAAAATAAAACCCTAATCTTCCTTTTATAGGCTTCCGTCAAACCCTACTACTTGGAGAGGAAGAAAACTTATTTTCCCAAATTAAATTGGGATTAAAGTTCTTACCCAATTTCAATTCCAATTAGCCGCACCACCTTTGTTTCAGCCAAATCATAAGAAGAAACACAAAAATTACAATTCAGTCCTCTAAATTTTCAAGTCTTCTGATTCCTTCCTCATTAGTTCTTACAATCTTTACTTAGGCCCTTTTTAGTTGCTATTTATTTTCAATTTAGTCCAAAATCTCAACAATTCTTCCATTTGAGTACAAAAACCTACAAATAAAGATAAAATCATATAAATAACATATTTATACTCAAAATATATTGCAAAAATCACAAATTAGGGACATAATAAATAGGTAAAATATAAGCATATCACATGATTCTAGTATGGATTCAGTTGCATGGCCTAGACCTTAAATTGGCATTTATCTTCTTTAAGTAGAGTTGCGAGTACTTTAGGCAATCCTCTACTTGCAGATGAATGCATGGTTAATAAACCAAGAGCGCAGTTTGCTCGTTTGTTGGTGGAAATGGAAATTAGTGATACAATGTCTGATAAAATAGTCTACAAAGATGAAACTGGCAATATTAGAATGCAGAAGGTGATATATGAATGGTTGCCTGCTAAATGCAATAACTGTAAGGGATATAGGCACTTGAAAAAGGCTTGTAAGAAGGGTCAGGACAAAGTAGGAAAGAGGCACAAAGTGGTTCAGATTGAATGGAGAAGGGTAGAGAAGGATAAAGGGATTGGTAACAATACTGGTAGTTCAGAATTGATCACTGCTACTAAGGAGGTCATTGCTGAAAATTTCTCTAATGAGGAAGCTCAAAAAGAGACCACATCTATTGATAATCACCGAGGTACCAGTAGACTAACTAGGCAACAAGGAAATTGGGTTGAAAAGAAACCGGGCTTAGCTGTGTCATCACAGGTACTAAGGACGTAGCTGTTGTGCAATCTCTTACAGAGACATCCGAAAAAGCTGCAACACTTGCAGATGACAAGATTAACATGCAAATAAGAGTAGGACCCGATGAGAGCACATTGCTCGACCCTGGACCGAGCTCTTACATGTAGTCTCTTAACCTAGAATGTAAGAGGTTTGAACTCTCCTTTTAAGCAAAGAGTCGTAGAAGGTGGTTAGGGAAAAAAAATACAATTTGGTTAGTTTATTAGAAACAAAGATGGGGAAAAGCAGGGGTGAAATATATTTACAGAAATCTTGGAGAGGTTGGCAGTGGCTTACAAATTATGATAGCCATGATAGAGGTAGAATTATGGTTCTCTCGGATGATAGTCTAACAGTAGTACAACTTCAATAGTTTGCACAATTTATACATTGTGAGGGTATCTTCAAATAGGATAAAAATAGCAGATTTTTTCTCACAAGCATCTATGCTTCCAATGAGTCAAAGGAAAGGGAGCAATTATGGGAAGACTTGACGAGATTGGTAGGAAATATAAGGGGCCCTTGGCTATTAATGGGAGATTTTAACAACATCTTAAGGTATGGGGAAAAGCTGGGGGTAGATCAGTGGTGTTACAGGATTGTGAATCATTCCAGCAGTGTCTAGATGAATGTGGAGTTAGACAGAGTTTTATAAGCAATCAGAGAATGGGAAGTGATAGGGTATATGCTAAGTTGGACAGAGTTTTGGCCAATGGATAATGTATGGATCAATATTCAGAATCCTTAGTCTCAGTACAAAGGGAGGGGTTGTCTGATCATTCCCCGTTGAAAAGGTGCAGGTTTTTGCAGCATCTAAGAAGCTGGCCAAACCGTTTAGGTACTTCAATATTTGGAGTTACTCACCCTAGTTTTTGAGCATTGTGAAAACAAGCTGGGAAAGACTAGTAAATGGGGCAAATATGTTTCAAGTTTGTACTAAAATGAGGAGACTTAAGCCAGTACTGAAAGCTCTGAACCGTGAACAATTTGCCGACGTTGTGGAGAGAGCTAAAAAGGACTAGATAATACTGAAAGAGCAACAAGAGGCCTTGAGTACTGACCCAACTAATATCGTATTGCAAGTAAGGGAAAAGGGAAGTAGCCAGAAGATATATGGACTCTAGCGAAGCTGGTAATTGCTTTTTACAACAGAAAGCAAAAGATAAATTGACCAAGGGGATGAGAACTGTAGATGCTTTCACTCTTTGTTGAAAGCTAGAGTTATGAGGACTCTGGAAAACAAGTGCATGCCTGGGAAAGTTTTGAAAACCATTTTGTTCAATATTACAAGCAACCGCTAGGGAGAGTATCTAATATGAAACCTGCAAACAATAAGATTTTTACATTGGGACCAGTGCTAAATGTCGAGCAGCTACTCAGATTAGTTCAACCTGTGAAGAAAGAGGAAGTCAAAGCTGCAATCTGGGACATGAATGTCAACAAAAGCCATGAGCCTGATGGTTGTGGAGCAGGATTCTTCAAGGCATCTTGAGTGTGATATAAGAGGAGGTGACGAATGCTGTCATGGAGTTTTTCTACATAGACCATGTATTAAATCAGATTAATTGCACCATTTTAGATTTAATACCTAAAATAGATGTTCCGTCGAATGCAACACATTTTCGCCCCATAGCATGTTGTAATGTTTTATACAAATGCATTCCAAAAATCCTTTGTAATAGATGAAGTTAGTTCTGCCTATGTTACTGGACGAAAATAAAAACGCTTTTGTAAAACCAAACTCTGTTTTAATGTCAATTTATTATTGTTGGAGTACTAGGCCTTTATTGGACGAAAACCAACATTTTGCACAATATACTAATCTCTCAGGAGATTATTAGATTGTATAGGAGGAAAGGGAATTAGTATGATCTTCTGCAAAGCATATGTGATCACAATTAAGAAAATCATGTTGGTTTTTACATATTTCTCTAACACTACTGGTCTATCTGCAAATTTACAAAAGTCTTCTATTTATTTTGGAGGATTTGGGCAGAAACTTCAAGAAGAAATATGTGGTATTATTCAGTTTAGCATTGGATCTTTTCCTATGAAATATTTAGGAGTTTCCTTTTCTCCTAAAAAGTGGTCACAACTGGAATGTCAAGAAATTATAAGGCGTATTGTGGCTAAGATAAAATGTTGGAGTACTAGGCCTTTGACATATACTTGGAATTTATTATTGGTAAACTCTGTTTTAATGTCAATTCAATCTTATTGGGGATCCATCTTCATTTTGCCACAATCGTTAACAAATTTGGTGAATAGAATATGAAGGAACTTTCTTTGGGGAGTTAAAGGTAACAACAGGTCTATTCCATTGGTCAACTGGGATGAAGTCTGTAAAAAGAAGGCTGCGGGAGGCCTGGGTATTAGAGATGCTAAATTGTGGAACAAGGCAACAATTTTAAAGCAAATTTGGCATCTTGCTCAGCAAAAGGCGTCCTTGTGGGTAAAGTAGATTCATGGCATATATATGAAGCATGCTTCTTTCTGGGATGTTCAAATTAAGCCTGATTCTATCTGGCAATAGAAACGGTTTTTGAAGATTAAAGACCAAGTCCGCAATGGGTTTGAGGGCTCGAAATGGAAGGTTGATAAACTGGGTAAGTATCATATCAGCTCTGGTTATAAATGGCTATCTAGGGAGGGCAAAAGAAGCAAGAATTTTAGTGTATTTGGGAGAGAATGAAAATCCCCAAACATAGTATCAATTCTTGGTTGATCTGGAGGAAAAGAGTTCTCAAAGGATCGACTCACTATGATGCATGTTGACATTCAAGATCATTCTTGTTTACTCTGTAAGCAAAAAGTGGAACCAATTGAACACCTTTTTTTTTTTCCAGTCCCAGGTTTCAAATGAATTCTTGGATTTGGCCAGGAGATGGATGTGGTGCCAGAAATTGTTGGTTCAAGAAAGGCAATGGAAAAAATAGGTGCTGGCTGTTTGGAAAGGAATCGAATTGAAAAGAAAGATTTTTCTAGCAGCTTTAGAAACAAAAGGTATTTTGAAAATATGGAGAGTGGACCAGTGGATATATTGAAGAAGATTTAGTGTGAGCTTAAGTGTAGATTCATGCTTTGGAAGAGGAAGAAAGTCCCAATAACTGAGGAAAACTTGTTGCAGCAGTTTTTTCAGTAAATGACTTTCGTATTGTATTGACTGCAATAGTAGATGGTGTTTTGCTGCCAGATTTGAGATGTATGCTCATTCAGTTTTGTAGCTCCTGAGATAGGTGACATGATCAGATGTACAGAATGTTCATTTTTGTGATCATGATAGTATCTTTACCTTTTCACCAAAAAAAAAAAAAAATTTTGAAATAGAAGGAGTTTCTACATTTGATTTAGATTTAGTGGTTACAATAAAAATATGAAAGAATACCTATTATTAAAAGAAAACATCTTGAACCACTTTTTCCTTCAAAACTTTCCCTTCCATAAAGAAATAAAAAAAATAAAAAGTCTATAATATATATCTAGTTCTATATTTACGTATCGTGGAAATACTATTATAACAGGTGGAAATAGCATCGTGGAAATGCGCTTTTGGAAACACTATTGAAGATTTGAGCAACCTCTTTATTTGGATTCAGCAACAAAAAGTCTCAAAAGACCAAATGTTGCTAGAGTAAAAGTTGAAATAGACCTCCTCAAACCAGTTCCTCACCGTGTATGGATCGATATTGGTGATTCCTTTGGTTTTTGGCAAAGAAGACATTGATGAAACTCTTCCTTCGTACTGTTCTTACTGCTGGCATGTGGGACATTCAGAAGATTTTGTCATGTAAGAAATCCAAACCTCAAGCAAGAAACCAAAACTCAGCAGCCGGCCAAAACCCACAGAAAAACATACAGGTTCATAAGCAAAAAGTGATCCACGAAACCCAAAACCAGACACTCCAGGTGGCACAAAGTATAGGTAAAGGAAAGAATATTACCCAAAACCACTAGCCGTCAACCACCAAAGGGAATGGAAAATGCATAGGGAGCTCTGATAATATAGAGACACCTATTTACACCCATGTTCGAGATTTGCAAGAGAAAAAGCATCCAATGATCTTACCAAAATTGCCCAACACTCGACAGAGAATGTTACACCCCAAACTAATTAAGGAGATATTGACCAAGAAACCTTAGAAATTCAAACCAAGATACCCCAAGAGACATGTTTACGACCCACAATGATGGAAGCTCAGCTCAAATAAACGACGATAGTCCTCATCTTAAATGAATATGAGCTAGTTCAGAAAAAAAAAAAAATACTACTACAAAAGATCCACTAAAGGAGCCAATAGCAGAGAAATTTTCTCATCATGGGTGTTATGTACTGCTCTCAAATGATGTTCAGATTACTCCAATTCATGAAAATAGTGAGTTGTCAAATGTTGTTGTTGTTAATAATCCTCTGTTCCTAGACGGTATGAACTTCAGATCACAAGCTGGCCGAAGGGTGGAATTAGCAGCAGATGCCTCTACTATAACCCAATCTAGATGGTGAGTATGAACCTTTAGATCAGAACGATGCGGCAACAAAGGTGACGAGTCCAAATTAGTACGGCTCGCGACTAATCCTGCCCAAGTTCGGTGAAAGATCCAACCGGTATCTGGAAACTTCTAGGTCGGTTCTTAATTACTTTTCTACCAAGAAAGGATTTCATAACCTATCTCTATAAATATGCATCAACCCTTCACGGTTAAAGGGACGGTCTATGCAGCCAATTATATACTTCTTCTACGAATATTTTTACTGACTTAAGCAGCGGAGTGTCTACTCTCGGGAGATCCCGAGGCCCTCTTTTGCAGGTTTTAGGGTTTTGATACCGCCATGATTAAAACGGGAACGTCGATAAAATTCCATCGTTCGTCAAAAGGCAAAAAATGGGACAGATGGATTCCAACGTGTGGGGCGGCGCAAGTCTACCCGGCCACATCGACCTCCAATCAGGCTTCCAAAAACTCTCAACGTTTAACTCTTTAAATTGCTTTAATTTTTGCAAATATTATTATCAATGATTAGTGTTTTGTTTTGGAATATTAGAGGTTTAGGTAATATTGTTTCTGCCTCCCAATGTCGTTTACGCAATTTACTCCTTTTCCATTCTATATGTCTACTCATTATCTTAAAACCAATGATATCCGCTGATCAACTGTGTAGTATTTAGAGACATAAAAAGAAGGCTTAAAAAATATCACGAAAGAAAGAGAGAAGAGAATCTTGAATATTTAGGATTTTGGGAGCAAATGATTCCTCTTACATGGCTAACTATTTATAGACTAAAAGAAAGTGTATAGTTCCAAACTTCCTATGACTTCCACTACTTAATAACTTCCTACTACTAGTTTAACTACTACTCACATAATCCGAAATTAAGTTACCATATCCCTAAAATTTTGCAACAAAAAACAACATCAAAAGATTTACTCAAAAACTCAATAAAACAGTAAAAAACAAAACAAATTACTAAGGTAACTTATTACTAACAACTCCTCCTTGCCTTAGTATTTGTAAATATCTAATAACTTTTACGTATAAATCTTTTCTCATGAACCCTTCATTTGTCATCTTTCTCAGCATCACAACAATCTTACTTCTGCAATACATCATCTGCATATGAAAGCTCCTTGTTCTTGAGAGAATTCTGAAAATTCCCTTTCAATTGATTTCTTTATCTTCATCTTCTCAAATTCTCGAGTCAAGGATGAGAATTTGCAAGCTCTTGAATATGCTATTCCTCTTGTACTTTGAGATTATCTCAGACGGCCTTGATTGTAAACAATTTCATAACGGCAGAGAAAAGACAACCTATAACCTTTAATTTTCTTGCCCTTCTCTCCTTGTAATTTTTTTTTTCTTTATATGTGCTACCGTTGGATTTGAAAGCAACGATGCAAAATATTCTTCTATAGCCTCCCCAAAAAAATATTTCAGCAACATAGGCTATCATCAAAAACATGCATGATGGCTTGTGTTACTCTCCTTCCCCAAAGGCCCCTCAAGATTTTGGCTCTAATACCACTTTGTAGTATTTACAGACATAAAAAGAAGGCTTAAAAAATGCAACGGAAGAAAGCGAGAAGAGAATATTGGATATTTAGGATTTTGGGAGCAAATGGTTCCTTGTACATGGCTAACTATTTATAGACTAAGAGAACATGTATAGTTCCCAACTTCCTGTGACTTCCACTATTTAATAACTTCCTACTACTATTTTAACCACTACTCACATAATCTGAAATTAAGTTACCATATCCCTAAAATTTTGCAACAAAAAACAACATCAAAGATTTACTCAAAAACTCAATAAAACAGTAAAAAACAAAACAAATTACTAAGGCAAATTATTACTAACAAACTGGAAGAAATTAGGCAAAGATTTCATTTTGATTATGCTTTATCCTCTATCACTAACAAAATTCGGATTTTCGCTCCTCATGGCTTCTCAGGAAATCCATTAGGAGGTTCTACTCAAGTAGTTCACCTGAAAATCC